TTGGACTTGGTACCTTTTAATTGGATTGATTGCTACGCAAGTGTACTTGGACTGATTAGGAAAAGCGAGCTAGTGGTTTGATAATAAATAGATAAAAGGCTATATGAATGGAAGAGATCCAAAGACACTGAAAGGTGTAAAGTTGTGCAGATTCCCCAAAAAATAGTGGAGGAAACAGCTCTTGTTTTTACCTGTTTTTCATTATTACTATCTTCGTAGAGTCATTGCTGAACTTCTATTTAGGGTAGTTGTTCAATCTAGTTTGTAATACCATTGTTATGTAGGAAGTGAGGTTAGTTACAAGCATGAGTCAAAGAGGTAGTTGAAATAGGAGAGTAACATCAATACCATTGATTAGCTACATCTCACCAGACAATAAGGGGTCCCAAACAGACAAAATGTCCTGCCCTACAGCAATGAGTGGGTCATCGTCGCCTCCTTGTGGTATTTGTACTAGGTGATTATTCCTTTGCACTTGACTGCGTGTTTATTGTGAACTCCAAATATAATATGTTCAGTTGTACTCATTTATTTCGATACTGTTAATTGCCATGCTCTCCACCAGCAGGTTTGCCGGCCAAAAACGCTACCCACCCTCCACTTGTGGTGTTAGACTATATAATGTTTGTGTTATGTTTTAAGTTTGCTTTGAACTAAGCTCTGTGTTCAACAGCCTGTTGAAATACATTTCATCTTCCTGTCCCATGTTGCTAGCAAGTTGGACGGCTTGAGCTTCAGTATTGTTGGGAGTTTCAGGGATAGTAAATGAAGCTCGTTAAGGTCTAAGAACGAGATTGTTAATATTTTAAACTGGATGGCAGGGTCATAATTTCGGATAAATAGTGGTAGCTTGTTGTGCGATAAACCATACGCAATGTACAAAACTTAGAACATATTGGTTTTTGGTGTTTTACCGTTATTAGTGTATGTGCGTTGTTTCTAAATCTGTAGGCAGGGGCATGGGTAAAAGTTTTGCTAGAGGTAAGAAATGAAAGATTATGAATTATTTACTAAAAAATAGTAAATCGTTTCTTAGTTGACGGCGCCAGAAAGGTTCTAAGGAGGGGTGTTTGCATCTGCCTGTGAAATCGAGGGCCGAAACACATTCCAGTTGTGGACGTGTGAGGCATCTTTGGTTTCCATGTTTGAGTAGATTGTTTGATGGTATTCAAGAGAAAGTCATATACATATTCTGGAAAGGGTGAGCACAGCCTCTTTTGCAAAGAAATTCCAAAATATGAAACTCAGCAGTGTATAGATTTGGAGATAATAGAGGAGACATGTTCTGCGAATTTCAACCTTTTTTTGTAGTAGATACATAGAACGTGAGCTGAGTTGAGAGTCTGAGCTCTACAATTACTTGAGTAATGTGATAGTCCACAGGGATGTTTCTCAAAATTTATGATACCACACTTGTTGTGGTTAAATGGTGACTGCCGTTCTTCGTCTCAGACTGATTGGCTATCACTGTCACTTTTAATCTGGGATATACTTCCATTTAAAGCTTTGTACTATTTTGACAGTGTCAACACACAAGTGTGGTCTCTAAAATCTTGTGGGTTTACATATATCGATTTTATAAACGAGAAACAAGAGTGGATTTAATATGTTTTTCCGAACATTTTCACTAGTTGTTGATTTTGGTGATGAGAGATAGTCATTATACTTCACCGTCTGTCCGGGTTCGGTTAGGAATAAGGAACACCATGAATATGGTGGACTATTAATTGCGAAGGACTACAGTTCGACGAGAAGCCTTTTGTGGGGGACCCTATCAAAGGCTTTTTCAAAGTTGAGGAGTAGAACTGATACAAAGAGCCCATTGTCTCGTTTTTGAGTTATGCCTGTAGTGGTATTGGTTTCTAAACACACGATCTTTGAAGCGGAGCGTGTTATTATCAGGAAAATTTACACTCAACATGTAACGCTAAAAGAAAGTTGAGAAAGGCGAACTCGCGAAAAATTGTTCTACATGACATGGCTCGGCCTTGCAGACGTGGTCATTATGTGTGACTTATCCCTTTTCGCATCGAATATGTTATTCTCTCTCCAGCCCAAATATGTTCTTCAGAAGCGCTGGACATCATATTGCTGATGTCATGACTGAACGAGTCAGTATAGAGAATGATGCGACTTTCATGTAAGGTCTTATACATTAGGCAGTCGCATAATGAAAAATCTGTAATTTTGGTATAAGGTCTTTTATTGTAGTAACAAAGATGAACGTACTAATTCTGAATTAGGCCATAATTCCACATATCATTCAAGTGAACTTGCAGGCATGTCGTGATTAGACTATGAGCAAGTAAACGTCGAACTAGTGCCGACTTAACCACTTTCTCTATCACTCTACATAGTTATTGTTATAAGCTAGTAGTTTTCAGCATTTGCTTCAGGTAGACTAATTTTGGAAATGATATGTGTAGTTTGGCAGGTGGTGGAGTAACACTTTATAGAGTGAAATCGTAAATAGTTTGAGAAGTATAACACAAAAAGCATCACTTCCACATTTTAACATGGTAGCTGTAAAACATCTGATCCCTTAGTGTCAGAGTGTTTCACTGTTCCAACTGCATTATTTTGTGCATAGAAGTCCACAATAGTGATTTCACAAGGTGTTGGGGTAAGCTCTGACTCATTCAGCGGGCTTTTACTCTTTGACGAGTCACAAAGTAGCGCACTAAAAAGTTCTGTTTTAAGTTTTTAATCTTCCTATACTTGACTGTCCTTAATAAATATGTTGCCTCTTTGTGGTTCAGAACATCTAAGTTTATTTATAAGGATTTTGATAATTGTGGAGGAGTCGGTTCTAAATTCGATAGCAGGTCGTTCTTGTAAGACTGACTAGTGTGTTTATATCAGTTTCTTTATAACATGATCCGGTGAGACGGATTTAGATTCTTGAGTGAGTTTGTGAGCGATTATAATGCCACCTACAACCATTTTGTTGAATGCACACAAATTTTAAAATCTCTCATCATTCTTGTTCCTTTCTCCCAGTCCATGTTGTCCTATGATTTCGCATATCTGATGTTGTCCATTCTGACTTTGTTGTTCAGGTCTCCCATCAGGATGGTCACTTCTTTATCTGAGCACTTCTCTATGACTGATTGTAGCCTCTCGCAAAAGCGATCTTTATTGTCTCTGTTATTATCATTGATGGGTCCATAGCACTGGATAACATTAATTGTGATTCTCTCCTTACCTGTCTTGAATTCTGCTTTGATGATCCTGGATCCCTGAGATTCCCATCCTATAAGTGCTGTTCATGCTTCGTTGTGCAGAGTGAGAGCAACTTACCGAACATGTTGAGCATTTTCATTTCCATGATCAGAGTACATTGGAATCTATCCTGATTCTATACTCTTCTGTCCAGGTTGGGTTTAATGGGTTTCACTTATTGCGAGAACCACCAAATTGTGTCCTCTAATTTATTCAGCTACTTGGTTGGCTTTCCCAGTCTCCCACACTGTCCGAGAATTCCATTTATCTATATTGATTAATGCTCTGTTTGTTAGGAGGTTCATCGTTTTCATGGCTTCAAAGGAGTATCGGCTTTTATCGTGAGGCGTCATAATATTTCCTTGAACTCGGAGGGAAGAGTCTAAATGGTTTAAGTTGACTATTCTGGTTGGTGTTTTTTTAGTAGGGTTTTATCCTCCGAGATAGGGTTGCTGACCTCGTTCCAAGCCCTGTTCCTTTACTCGTGCTTAGGACCGGCAGTAGCGTCAGGAGTGCTACAGTCAGAGTTGTGTTGCATCACGCTTCATAAAAATTCCAAGTGGATTACCAAATATCTAACTTGATCTAGTCACCGTTATGAGTTGTAAAGCTTCGTACCGTGAACGAAAATTTGGCAGTAGATAGGCACGCGACAGCGATAATCAAGATAGATATCTTTTTCTCATCAGGCAGACTGAACACATTTATAATGATGAGTAGAAAGTGGTAGTATATCACTCAGCGAAAATGAATAGACTGCCGACAGGAAGCTGTTCAGAAGACGTCAAGCGAAAACAGTACACATGAGCTTTTTTGGAAATACAGCAAAGTGAAATTAACTGAAAAACATGTGACCCAGATGACACATAATACCCCAAATTTGAAAAAACTCTCTTAACTAAACCTTTCTAACCCTTTCAAATTAAAACAATGCACTTAAATTCTCTGCTATATTAGGACAGTTTATAGATCTTGAGAATCCATTTACTTTTCCTTGATTTTGTTTGTTTATATGCAGTATTGGTAGGTCTGGACGATTGTAGGCGTCCAATCGATTTGTTTTTTGTTGGTTGGGAAGTTTCGTCTGGCCTTACTGGACATATTCTCTAATGCGTAGTTCTTTAATTTCCAAAGAGGTTGACTCGTTACACACTCAAAATGTGGAGGTTTTCTGTCGTATCAAGCCGTTTTACTCCCAGGGGATTTCCTGTATTGAGGTTTGTGATGGAAAAACCATAAAGTCTGTCGGTCACCGCTCTGGGAATAGGAAAGAAGTATGCTCACAGTAATCTATTTTAATATGTTAACACAGACTTCGCACTCATTCACTTGCGTTCTTCCACCTGATGCAGGACAAGATGTTGTATTTCAAAAAGTTGCTTTCCCTCTGGTCACTGACTTTTTGCATGGAAAAAATGGTATAAGTTTGTTACTCAGCTAAGTTTTCCTACAGGCTTACTGTTCACTTATGGGGTTACTGGCAGTGGCAAAACCTACTCTATGGAGGGGTCTTCAAAGGACCCTGGCATTTTACCACGTTCACTTGATGTTATTTTTAATTCCATCGGACAGTTCCAGACAAAAAAATATGTACGTAGTACTCATTAATCACGAAATTCTAGGTGGTAAAACCCGATGGTTTCAACGGGTTTACTGTTCAGTCAGAAGCAGATGCACTCATGGACCGTCATCGATCTGATTTCCAGCAGCGTTCGCGCTTGCCAAAGTAACTCTTAGGCTTCACTTGATTTAGTAGATCTGATGTTAAACCTGCGAGTATGGTTGAAAGAACTTGCGAATCGATATCGGTGAACATCCCATGGAAGTCTTTGTTTGCTGTCTTCGTATCCCTCATTGAAGTGTATAACAACAGTATATACGATCTACTTCAAGATGTTTCAGACTTACCAGGAAGGTAGTATAATTTATAAAAAGTGTTTTTATATTCAGGAATTTAACAACTCGGATATTGCGGGAAGATTCCCAAAGAAATGTGTATGTTTATGGAGGGGTTGAAGTAGAAGTTAAGTCGGCCGACGAGGCTCTTGATGTGTTATGTGCAGGTAATTAAATGCTTGTTGTTTTTGTTGCCCTAGTTTCTCAAAGCTTAAAATGTTAGTGTTAACTACTAAGTAACTGGGAAAACAGGTCACGCAACCGTTTCGCGTTGCTTCCTAATAAGATCATCCTGTGCAACTCTTAAAAACATGAATTATTGATTTTTAAAATTCTTTTCAGGTCAAAAACGCCGCCGAATAGGACAAACGGCATTGAATGTTGAGTCCAGTCGAAGCCATTGTGTTTTTACTATTCGACTGGTGAGGACGGGTTATGATACCAAGTATGACGAAGCTGTCCAAGTGAGTAAGGATTTTCACTAGGTTTTATACACTTGAGTAATATTAAATCCAAATCCTACTCAGTGATTGTCTAAAATAGGCCACGTTCATCAATACATTTTGTGCTATGTCCTGGGTTAACGTTCATCTTGAATCACTTAGGACTTGTGTGTATTTTCCTTTGTGCTGTTTTTAAGTGAGGTTAGACTCAGGGTATTGGGGAATAATGCTACGTCAGTTGGTAAGGTTCTAAATGTTCACCGGATGAGATGGTTGGGCCACACTTTACGTATGTCCAAATACCGACTAGCACGACGCGCAATGCTGACTAGTGTTGGGGATGGTTGTAAGAAAGTTAAGGTCGGCCAAACCAAAACGTGGCATCAGTGCTTGATGTCACTAACTTTCAGTCTGAGCCATTTTGGTAGATGCAGACTATTTGGTTTGGGTCCGCGCGACTACCGTAACCAATAGTTGGAGACTCTTGGTGACATGGCTCAGAATTGATCACGATGGCGTAGGTGTACACACTATTTGTCTTCTCTTAAACTATGGGTTCAAACTTGCTTTATATTTTCCTTTTCACGAACTAATTCTCTCTTTCTGTACTATGTCCTTAAATGCAATCTTTCTTTTATATATTATCACCACTAAATTAACTATGAATTTGTTTATTTTGTGCTAATGAGGTGTGGCAACTTGGACCGATGAATATGTATGCCTGGTCCTATTTTGTAGTCGACTTACTGATATGATTGTCATACACTAATTTCTGTTTGTTGTTCTTTTATTATACATACTTATATTCTCTATCTCTTCACAACGTCATTATTATTGTTTGGTGTATATGTATTAGGTGCACTTTTGTACAAATGTTTTTGTTCAAATAAACAAATCTACGTTAATCTTGCGAGTATACCGAATTGTGTTATTTGTCTGCCTTACTCCGTAACCTGATCTTAAGGCAGTAATTGTCTTTACGAAATTTACGTTTTGAGTATGCAGACTGGACGGTTTCATTTTCAAATAGGATAATGTTAAATCTTTGTGTTTATAGCAAGGAATCTTATCCGGAAAACCGTAGTGTCATGTGATTAACATGCCATACTTTCAACAGGGATCGATTTATGATATATTGTTGAGTCCAGCTAGAATCCATCAGAGTGACTTGCTGATCCTTTATTGGATTCCTAGACACCGTGATTTAGTGGATTTAGATACTATAATGTAAGGTCAAATATGACCAGTGGAAAGTGCGTTATAGTTTTATTGCTGTTTTCAATACTAATACATGCATTATTTTAATTTACAGGATAAGGAGTCCGTTGTCATCAGTCATTTATGCCTTGTGGACCTCGCTGGTTCCGAACGTACAAGCCGTAGTGGGACGCAGGGGAATCGCTTGAAGGAAGCATGTAGGCATTCGTTTTTTTTTGTTAGTTCGTTGGATAAAGTGAGGCTCCCTGGCTTAGTGTTAACGAATTTTCGGTAGGGATATAAAGTGTTTGTTTTGTTTCTTCCAAATTACATCACAGAAAAACACCAATTATCCATTGTAAAGTAGGTTTATTATTTATTACTTCAGAAACTTGACTTTCAGCGAGGTCACTATTTGGAACGCTAATCCATCTATTGATGCTTGTAAAACCTAGTAGTAATAATGACTTAGTAAATGCGCCTCATTGCTTGGTCCATGAGTTTATTCAGCATTACTGAATTTCAGTAATTATTGCACCATTTCCTGACTGCTTTTTTAATATTCAAGTGAGATTTATCTGTTGACATATGTAGAAAGTTAGTTCGCTCTAATGATGGAATCACCAAGTCAACCATTTTGAGGTAAAGTGATTAACAAAGAGGTTAACAAACAAACTAGACATTAACTGAAGTTATATCAAGTTGAAGTAAATTAGAAGTGGACGAACGAAGATATTACACCAGTTCAGAAGTTCACTAGCTGTTGATGTAATTCGTGTAAAGAAATTCAAATATCACGGCTAAAACGCATATGTTTCTATCAATCCTTCGTTGAACACCCTGAGTTTAGATAACCTCATTCCAATTTCCATCAAAATTCTTTGTTATATTTTAATGTTTCAGCCAACATTAACAATTCTCTAATGAATCTTCGGAAGTGCATCAAAGCCTTGCGTGATATTCAAACTTATGGAAGTAAAAGTCGGGGAGCCACAACTACTCCTGTTGGACACACACGTGTTGTTCCCTACCGTGATGCTCGGTTAACATATCTTTTTAAGAACTTCTTTGAGGGCGATGGTCGCGTTGCAATGCTTGTTTGTATTCAGCAAGCACCAGAAGAATACGAGGAAACCATGGTACGTGTTTAGTTGTTATGTTACTTTTCTTGTACCTCATTTATAAAAAGTGTAATATTTCCAATCTGTTTACGCATGCGTTGTTTAAATACTAAGATTCATTAGCACATAAAACTGGTAATTTCACGTTAAGCTTTTTTGGGGTGCTTGGTGGTCCTGACCTAAGTGTAACCACTTTCTGGTCTCATCAGCTTGATCAACGACTTTTTACCATTAGCGTGAGATATTTTTAAAGTCTGGACATAAGTAACAACCAAAATCCACTTAATTCAAGCAAGATTTTTCAATAGTGTATTTAAACCATTTAGTTAAGTTATCTAATCTTGTACTTCGTAACCGTTTATCACGAAACATTTTTATGTTTGGTGGGTGCCTAGTGACTAAAGATAAGACTAGATATTTCTGAGATTTAGGATGGGATTATCAACGGCATTCGTTAGGTACCGTTACTAACTTCGAGCTTCAATCAAGCTAATCTCAAGCGTTTGTCATGTGATGATTGCATAGGTGATACTTCTTCCTCCTATACAATCTAAAATCTATCGGTTAGGCGATCTATTGTATCCACTAGTTTGAGGGGTTATGATGCTCCGATAAGTACCACATCTCATCGAGATGTATGATCCTTTAGTTTATTATTTTGCGCATATATATTTTTCTACCCATTAGTACCACTATTTATATGTTCAAATCAGTAAATAAAAGTTAAGTTTAATAAACTTATACGTAGCGTTTACTTTAGGATTAGAAGCTAGAATAAAACGTTGATGTATGTTAGCTGACGTATTTTGTGATATCTAAATAGTTTTTCATGAAAATTCGTATTCATACAAGCTATGGACGGTATTTAGTGCTTTCGTTGTGTTATTGTTCTTACTACTTTCTGGTTCTAGGATGACCTCGTAAAAATAACTTTAGAAGTGTGGAAACTCGAAATACTGTACTTTTTGTGTCTGGGTTTGCATTGGTTTAATCGATCTTTATAAATTATTTGAGTGATTTCTTTCGGAGCAATTCATTCATGAATGGAAGTTAGTTTTAAGTTTAAGTACCTGCATTTGAGTGTTCCTGAGTTCATCACAGAAAGTAACCTTCGTGAATAAGCGACTGTTCTTTAATGTAAATAATTTTTATTATTCAATTAATTTTAGCATGTCCTTAAATTTGCTGAGACAAGTCAGGAATTAACAACTTACCGCAATATTGTCCAACCAACCCCTTTCCGTGCACCCTACAACCAGATCCGTCCACGACTACAAACTCCCTTGCGTGTTTCTGACGATTCTTCAAGTACAACAGAAAATTCTGTCATAACTGTTGTGAGTTTCAGAATTATATATATATATATATATATATATATATATATATATATATATATATATATATATATATATATATATATATATATATATATATATATATAAACCAAACTTATTTCGTTTTTGCAATTTTAGAATATTGATGATCAAGCTACTCAAATTTTTGCTGATTTGGATTTCTTGGATCGTGAAGTCACTTCTTGTTTAAACAAAATGTGTAACGGCGATAGTTTCATCGGTTTAAATCTGGATTTCGATATAACAGACTTTAATGACTCTGACATACGCGCCGGTCTTGGTTTACAGGACCAAAATTCAGATTTGTCTCCCTATGAAAGTGAACAAGACTCAGCACCTGAACAAGACAGGTTACCAAGGCCATTCCTCGATTTAAAAATAATTGACACAAATCCTTTACGAGCTTTAATCAATCGTCGATTAGAACGTAAGAAGCAGGCTTATGATTCTTTGCAAACATTATTTCCTAGTCTCCAGGCTCTATTCATTGAATTATTGAATAATGAAAAGAATATCAGTCCAGAAGTTGTCACAACAAATCAACCGAAACCCGGAAGGGTAAGTTGCTAACTACTGATTTGCTTTTTGACTGTTCGTCTGTTAGGTCACTGTAAATGTTGACTTACAGGGATTTGCATTATGCGATATCAAATAGATAATTTTAAGAGAAATTCTTACCTCTCCAGCCTTTAGTAAGGTTGAGATATCATCTGTTTGATTGGACAGCTTGTGGAGACAAATTCAACCTGATGATACTTCTAATTGTGGGTTGACATCAATTTGAGAACCAATAAAAACCAGGAAGATATGAACAGCTGTTTCGACATTTGTGATGACTTAACAGTGTACAGCCACTACTACATTAAGGTATACAAATTGGATAGGTGTATATGATGTCTATATTCTATAACAAGTTGTAGGCGTGACCTTCGATGAACCTAACGCTCTCTGGATCAATTTTAGTTTCTGGAATTCCCGTGGTTAGTGAGAGGAAATGAAGTAGAGATGTTAAGTGTCCAGATTCTAACCACTTGGTGATTCATTGCTTCAACCCAGTACAAACTAATTGGTACGCACAAGCATCGGAACCGTGACTTAGTTATCGGGATATAACAATCTATTCATGATTTCAGTAAGCAAGCATATCGAAGCGAAAATTTGCACAAAAAAGTTTAAGTCGCTACACTACAATACTGTACAAAAAACCGAAGCTCAACCAAATTACCAAGATACTAAAACAAACAAGGGAAAATAAATAAGAAATTAATACTTTATGATTTTAAAGCTGGTAAAAAAATGTTTTTGTGTCTCTAGTCCGTGTGCACATCAGAGAAGCTGGTGAATTTTCATATGCAATATGTCAATAATTCAAGTTGAGGTTTTCCCATGTGTTCGTTATAATGACACCTCCGTAATCATTATCAAGTGGATCTACTAAGTTTTGAACCGATAACGCTTTTAATTAGAATACTTCTGGTGCTTGAAATCATAAGAGCTGATTTTGAAGATGAGCTGTCATTTTTTATTTTCATCATGCTAAATTCGAATTATTATTATTATTATTTATTATTATTTGAACACATGAATATTGGTACAATAGAGCGCCAATATATATGCGCCACACAAAACAATGAGAATTGGAAGAGAAATAGAAAAAAAAGCTAAGGAGCGCAAAAAAGAGAACAATAACGAAGAGATGGGTGTAAGGTAGTGTGGTAGAAATGAGGGAACGGAAAGGTATAATCAGAAGAAATCTTTCAGGTAAGGGAGACACAACCACTTTTTATGAAGAAAGTAAAAGAAGGTTACAGCAGGATCGCCACTGGCTTCTATTCTGAGCCATATCTGCCAACGTCTCTAGCCACTGTGTAGCGCCATCTCTCGGACCCCAACCAGGGAGTCGTGAAGGACCAACAGGAGCCAGCCCTTTGCGGCTTTCTTTCATGCCACGACACCATGTCATGCACTGACCACCTCTGCGCTTCTTCCAACCAGTCCCAGAGTCGGCAAATAATGCACGACGTGGAATTCTCTGGGACGACATTCGGAGAACATGTCCAAGCCACCGAAGTCGGTGTTTCAAGATGGTGACACCAATTGAATTATCATCTCTGTTCCCGAACACACGATGCCGCTGAATGTCAGCAATCCTTCGGAGACAGCGATGATCGAACATAGAGAGTCGTCTAACGTCCTCAACTTGGGGAGACCAGGTTTCACAAGCATAGAGCAAAACTGCTCTCACCGACGAGTTGTAGACCCGACCTTTTACAGTCAGACTGACATCACGAAGGCGCCAAAGTTGGCCCACATTGGCATAAGCCGCTCTGGCTTTCACTATACGTGCATTGATCTCATCACTCACACCCCCACCAGCACTCATACAGCTACTCAGATACACGAACTTCTCGACTACGTCTATCTGCTCACCATCCAGGGTGAGTACAGGATTGGAGTCCTGCCAGTCTTGTAGAAGTACTTTGCACTTTGGAGGTGCGAAGCACATACCATACCTACAGACACTGATTACCAACTGATTAAGTGCGGATTGCATGGCTTGAGCATTACCGCACAGTAAGACAATATCATCCGCATACTTGAGGTCGAGAAGTCTTTCTCCAGGCAACAGACACACACCGCCATTACTTACATCCATCAGAGCTGTTTTTAGAACGTCGTCGGTGGCAAAGTTGAAGAGGAATGGTGAGATTGGGCAACTCTGCCTAATCCCACTGCTCGAATAGAACAATGGAGGGAGGTGGTTGTATGCCCTCACTCTGCCTGAGGTGTTTGTATATAGGGCTTTAAGGATGTTAAACAACTTCTCAGGCACACCCTTCTTCAATAGACAATCCCAGAGAACAGTCCTATCCAACGAATCAAAGGCAGCCCTGATGTCAAGAAACACCACGATTTCTGGCCTTTGATAAGTATGACGGTGTTCTGACATTTGGCGGAGGGTGAAGATATGATCAATACATCCTCGATCAGAGCGAAACCTAGCCTGCTTCTCGCGAGTCAATCTTTCTCGGGTTTTGAACAACCTACGAAGAATGACGGAAGCCAATAGCTTGGACGCAATCGGAAGTAGACTTATCCCTCGATAGTTGTTACAGGAACGACGTGAACCCCTTTTAAAGATAGGGAGAGCTACCGACTCATTCCATGACGTTGGTACACTCCCTAGCTCCCAAACCTTTGTAAACATCGTCGTCAATTCCTTAGTCAGAAAGTCACCACCATCTTTAAAAAGAGCCGGAGGTAAGTCATCTGGGCCAGGTGATTTGTAACGCTTCAAGAGTTGGCGTTCCTTGCGAACTTCCGCCTCATTTGGTGGAACAGTCGTCACCGACCATGGAGGGCGGGACAGTCTGACCGATGTTGCCGGAGCAACAGGCCAGTTGAACTGCCCTTCGAAAAATTCTGCCCATCGTCCAGAACGTCGATGGATGTTAGTGATTGGCATCCCATCATCCTCGCAGATTGTTTCACTCACACCAGACTTCTTGCTGCCAGTGGCTCGGATGAGTTGGCAGAGCTTCCGGTAATTACCAGACGCAGCAGCTGCTTCCAGCTCATTAGCACGCTTCGACCATCAGGCTTCTCGGTCCTTACGCAAGCTTTGCCCAATTTCCTTACGTAACAGTCGTCGTTTGTAGTCAAACTCACGGTCACCCGGAGTAGACCGACGGGCTTCAATGAATTGTAAGGAGCCTGAAGAAACCCAGTGCTTATAAGCGGGACGTTTCGCGAACCCACAACTGACTGTACCCGCCATTTTCATGGCGTCATGCAATTGCAACCAATGCTCATCTATACTTTTCGGTGGAGTGGTAGCTAGCCTAGAGGCTAGCTCAGTTCGATACTTACTTGCAACAGAAGTTGCAACCAGCTTGCTAATATCAATCCGTTGGTGGCGGTCACGTTGTTGTCCACTGGAAAGTAAGGCAAGATTGGCGCAGTCCAATGCATGGTCAGAGTGCAGATAGGTACTCCAAAAGGAGCGGCAGTCTTGTACACAACCACGCCAGCGGTAGCTGATCGCGATGTGATCAATCTGGGCCCAGGCTTGAGATGCAGATTGAGGACGCCAGGTGGCACATCGGCGATATGAAGACTTTCCAAAGACATAGCCAGCCGTATCTGTTGTCCGACCTGCATAAGTGTGCGAACGTTGAAGGCAGCCAGTTTGAATGGCGCACGTGGTTTCAGAAAAACTGCTTCAGTACTTATATTTGGTGGTAACATACAATTTTCAACCGGACAGTGACTCGAGAACGTTTAGATACAGTCGAATTTCCACCAAAGACGAGCCGCTGTATAAGTATAAAAGAGGGTGAATAATGTGGAAAATAATAATAATAATAATAATAATAATAATAATAATAACAATAATAATAATAGTATTAATAATGACAATAATTGTAATGATAATAATTTGAACCAATTGATTGTTTTTCGAAGCGAGAAATGTAATTTCTATAGACATAGAGAGTTCATCATTTGTATGCTAAATTCGAAGCTCCTGTATGATTCGGAATCTCGGTGTACAAACTGGAGCAAAACCAAATTGCGTCTAACTCTTGTTCTTGGAAAATTTTGTTATTTTCTACATCTACGACACGAGAACATATCCACAGCTAATGTATCTCCACTTTTCATTACTGAAAGTTATCAAATTCATATTCGTTTATTTCAGACGAGTTAGTAAATACTTGGCTCCCCATAAATAATTTTCAAGGACTTTAAGGATTGATATCTTATTTTCCGTTTAGTATTGACTGCAACTTAGATTACACGCCTCCCTACGAATATTATTGCTTGTTTATCTCCTGGTAAATTCACGATAAAATTTATTTTCATATCTGTATTTAGGAACCGTCATCTAATGGCTTGACACAAGTTGTGTTTTAATTTTGTGGATAGTAAAATACATTATTATCTTTGCTATTAATTTATAAATTACAGTATGGAAATCAAAACCTACATCTCAGTTTAATTTATAAAGTCTAGTCTCAATCGTCATGTTTGTTCATATTTCAAGTAGATGAGTAACACTTTCTGATTATTATTATTTTAACACATAGATATTGGTACAAGGAGGCACCAAATACATATGCGCCACACAAATCTCATTTGATATGTGTGAAAGCTGTGATACTGCTTGGGTGCTCAAACTGAAGCAGTGGTTTCCTTAGGGGGCCACACCCGGAGCCTTCGACCTTAAGGCCTAATCCACAAGGCAGTGGAGCATCGTAAGGGGATGCAGTCCCGTGATAGCCGGTGACCAACGATTGGTTCATACGCCATTTGTTCCTTCAGGATCCTGAAGCCAGCCCATGTGCACCATTGGTTTGGAGTCAGGGTTTTTCCAACTCTCCTAGGTGGACTCGGTTAAAACGCCGGAAATTCGCTTTTCTTCCTCTCAATTTCGTAAACAACACCACCGCCACGAGAAGGCAATGAGTAGGACTTCTTCAGCAGAGGCTATATACGCGTGGCCACGTGAGAGCATTTCGAGAGGGAGATCGGACTCTCCCCACTCTCGGCCGTACCAGGGCATTTGGGGGCACACACTTTCTGAAGTTATATTATTAACCGTATAAATGAATTGAGGGTTCATCAGCTTCTTGTTATTGGTTATCTCCGTAGTCACTATTCTTGGCTATTCTTCATTATATTTTAGTGTTCTACTATCGAAATGTGATGTTGTGGTATTTTGAAATTATTGAATTTGTTTCAAAACATGTTTGTAGAGTAACAGAATTTCTTTCATTCGCCTTACATTATCCATTAGACTTGAGTAAAAAATATTTCTGTTTAAATCTCATAGAATTTAGTGAGTACATTATCCAAACAGTGGGAATCAAGACTAGCTCAACAACAAGCTGAAGCGAAGATACTATCACGTCCTAACAATAATAATACCAAAAGAATTGACGACACGGTCGCATTGACTCCTGGTAAACTAAATGAAAGACGTGCTGCTCCAGCGTTTAATCCTCGTCACCGTCGGTCTCGATCAGTCGGTGGGGATAATGCACGTTGGTTAGAGCATCAAGAAGCTAATAATACACCTTTAGGCACAATATTTACACCAAATTTGAAACATCGGAAATCTGTTACACGTGTTGAACTAAAAGATACTTTGAATGCGGATAACTATCTTTTACATCATCAAGAGGCAGATTCAGATGGTAACGTTGAAACAAGTCTTTTTAAAGTAAGTAGAGTGTATGAAGAGTATAGTGATGTATATCTTTTGAAAATAATTATTTAACTATTTCACATCAAAAGAACCCAACATTAATTTTTTTATAATATCTGTAGATAATTTCCATGTGATAAATCATCAATAACAAAAAGTATAAAGAAATCTGTTAACGACTATTATTCGATACACGATAAGTAGTTATGATTGGAGACTCTGGGTGACATGTCAATCAGTCAGTCAGTAACAATGTAGAACTTCGTACGTACGTACATCAGTTCGAGTTGCCACACCACATTTGCACAGAGATGTAGTGGTCGATTCAAATCCCGTAGTGCTAGATGTAGTAAAATTAAAAGCTGTAATCAGAAAAGTTAGGGTTTGAAGATGCTATTCGAGGAGTATAATCCAGTGAAATAAATTTGGAAAGAGAAAAAAGAAAGGGACATGAAGAAGTCAGAAGATTAGAATTTGGGAGAACACAAAGAGTGGATGCACCTGCACCATTGCAAACGATTTTGAGCCATGTCATTCAGGTTCTCCAACCGTCGGTTGCTATCATCTCGCGGTCCCCAACCAGGTAGTCTACACCTACCAATATGATTCAGTTTACTTGTCAGTGACTTCATGGACTTGTGCCATGCTTTGGTCTGGCCGCTCCTAGCTTTCTTTCAATCTACTCCTATACAACAAAACTTCGCACATCGAGGCAGTCGGTCGTTGGGCATACGTAACACGTGTCCCAGCCATCTCAACTGATGAAGTTTCACTACGTCATCAGTTGATTTGCCATCCTTACCTAGTACCCGTTTCCTATCAACTGTGTTACTTACTCGATGGTCCCAGGATATACGAGCTATATTTCGAAGACAGCTATGATCAAATACTAGTAACCTACGGATATCCTCTACTCTTACCGGCCGTTTCTCTGCCATAAAGTAGGACGGAACGAACTGCTGCGCAGTAAACCCGTCCTTTGGTTGATAGACGGATATCTCGCCTACGCCATAAATGACGCAAGTTGGTAAAAGCTAGTCGAGCCTTCTGTATCCGTGCTGAGATTTCGTCACACACCAGACCACAAGGGCTGATGAGACAGCCAAGATAAGTGAAGCGGTCGACACACTCAACTACTTCATTCCCTATCACTAGTTCGGGTGTCGATGTAACCCAATCCTGAAGCAACATTTTGCATTTCGAGGGAGAGAATCGCATCCCGGATATGCTTGCATTGTTGCTTAGAGTGGTCAGAAGACTGCATTTTGTCAGCGTCTTCGCCAAATAAAACTATGTCATCAGTATATTCTAAGTCAACAAGTGAATCTCCCGGTAGAAGCTCAACCCCTGGAAATCTAGACGAGGAAAGTGTTATCTCTAAAAGTACGTCGACGACAGAGTTAAACAAGAATAGAGTGAGTGAACAGCTCTGACGAACACCACTTGAGATAATCTATTCTGATGACAGTTCGCCATAAGCTCTCACTCGACCAGTTGTGTTCGAGTAGAGAGCCTTTATAAGGTTAATGTACTTCTTTGGTACTCCTTTCAGTGAAAACACTGCCATAAAACCTTACGATCAACAGAGTCGAATGCCACCTTAAGGTCGAGAAATACTACCATTGTGGGGCGTCTGAATGTGTGTCTGTGTTCTAGAACCTGACGTAGTGTGAATATCTGATCTATACAACCACGTCCAGGTCGAAAACCAGCCTGATTTTCTCTAGTCTGTTCTTCACAAGCTTTGGTTAGGCGTCGAAGTATTATTGAAGCTAATATTTTAGACACTATATTTGTCAAACTGATTCCTCTGTGTGGCTGAAGGCCAGTTGAACTGATCCCTAAAGTGTTCTGCCCGTCGATCCAATGTCCTGGATTGAGAATGAATAATATGTCCATCTTTCTCTGAGATTGTTTCGCTAAAAGTTGGGTTCCTAATTCCGGTTTCCTTAACAAGTCTGAACAGTTGTCTGCTGTTACCCATTGCCGCTGCCTTTTCCATCTCTCTTGCTTTCGCTACCCACCACTGTTCACGATCATTGCGTAGACTTCTTGTCAGCCTGCGCTTAAGCTGACTCTGCTCTTTATTATGTTCAGAGACAGGTGGAATGAGTTTCCAAGCATTCATCAGTGCGATAGATGCTGCTGAGATCCAGTGTTTCTCCCTAACCTTGTGGTTTACCTTACTATCAGATATCACTGCTGTTTCCACAGCTTTTCGGATATCATTCCATGCTGCCTCGGGGTGGGCATCACATACATGGCTGCCTAACTGTTTTCCTAGTTCCTGCAATATACTCTTAGCTTGACTATCATTAAGTAGACCCCTAAGAGGTTTCCTTGCAACGTCTTTCCTACGTCCAGTAAGACGCAGACAGATATGCGCTCGCACTAGAGCATGATCTGAATCTAAGCATGTGCTCCAGAATGAGCGACAGTCTTCTATGGAGCCCCTCCATCGGTAGTTGATAGCGATGCGATCTATTTGGGTCCAACGTTGGGACGAATTAGGGGGTCTCCATGTTAAAAGATGTTTTTCCTTATGCTTAAAGTTAGTATTTGCAAGAAAGGCGGTTATCTGAGCATAGCTGCAACAAACGGTCTCCATTATCTGTTCTTTGAGCCACAACACTATAAGATCCACCCAGGTGTCTTTCCCTATCGCTTAGTTTACCTACTTGAGCATTAAAGTCACCGGCCATTATTACTACATCCGAGCGCTTAGCTTTTAGGAGGAGGTCGGAGAGCTTTCTGTAAAACTCATCTTTTACATCACCTGCGCTGCAGTCAGTGGGAGAATAGGCAAAGACGAGTGTCCCTATCTTTTCGGATTCTTACTGTTCCGTTCAGTCGGACAGCCCATAAACGACTGTCTACTGGGATCCACTCTAAGAGAGCTAGTTCTGCCCTAGGGCTCAATGCTATGCCTACGCCGGCGAGGCCACGGGAAGCAGAATCAGGGCTTCCAGATACACGAAGTGTGAATCGAGTCGATTCTTTATTTTGGCATGGTGAGGTCAAATGGATGATGCTACTCGGATCCTGTGTGCGCGTGTCGGAGACGCAGCACACATCGATGGCGCGGGATTCTAATGTCCTGGCTAAGGAAGCCTGCTGTCCTATTTGGCACAGTGTTCGGACGTTAAAAGCTCCTACGTGTAGTTTAGAGCGTGGTTTCAGGCGACCAGGAATAGCGTTCCGCGTATTAGAATGGTTTGCCCTAGCGGTGCGAGGTGATAAAGAGATGTAAGGAGGGTTAGTCATGGAGATAAGAGAGGTATTAGGAGGTGTAGGAAGGATTTGAATGTGACCAACTTGGTCTCGTGTGCTGTTACGAGTATGAGGGCTGATATCACTTCCCGGCTGCCCACACCGTGGAAGGTTATTTTTTGAGGAACCTGAAAAGGAAATTGGATTAGTGTTGATCTTAACGACCTTGGAGCGTGACCGCAAAGCCCAAGGGACAACTGCTTGATGAGGCCGGTCGCTCACGGCTTTTTCGTGGAAGGTTTTTAATGTGTTAGCTCCGTTCTTCAAAGGGCCTTACCGCCGGAGACGGAAATCTGTGAGGTAAGGTGAAGTGTGACATTTTTAGGGTCGACCTTTTCTAACCCCTTTCCTTCCTTATGAGAAGGCAGCATAGCTGTAGATGCTGGTTGTCAGAGGGAAACACCTTACTTCTGTCACACCTCTCTACAGTCAGCAGTACGACTTGGTCTTCAGACCTTGAGTTGCTGCTTTTAGTCTTACCGTTCTCCAATCGACTTGCCTGGCATGGTAGAACCTACAGGAACATATGTCCCAGCCAATATAGCTTGGTTGGGTCATCACGATAGGCAAGCCCGACCACCGCGTCAAGGTAGCAGCTTCGGTCGGGTCTGGGTGACATGGCTCAGAATCGACCACGATGACGTTGATGTATACACTTTATCTTCCTTTAAACTATGAGATTAAAATCGCTTCATATCTTTCTTTCTACCATTTAATTCTTTCTTCCTGTACTATGTCCTTATATACAATCTTCCTTTTATATATTGCCAACACTGAATTAACTGCTATGAATTAATGTTCATCTTGCGCTAATTAGTTGTGGCAACTTGAACCGATGCACATATGTGCTGGTCCTACGTTGTAGCTGACTGACTGACTGAATTAGTTATCATTACTCAGTGGTATTGTAAATAACGAAGGGATTTTTTTGGACATATCTATTTTTATTTCTATAAAAATTGTCTAAATAATCTTAGCTATGCCGAGTTTTTGACAGTTTGGTCGTTACGTGTTTTTATGGGAAAGAGTAATATGAAAACAAGCTGCGGTATAGGCTAGAATTAAAATACACAACCAAATAATTTCTATTTGCTTTGCGGAATGTGTAAGGTGTACGACCTTAAATGTATAAGACAACAACCATTACTTGATGCTTCTAACTGGCAGTTCATGGTAGGTTGCAGTTGTTTTCTTTTAAGCGTTTTCGCTTTTCGTCAGTTCTCAAGTTGTCGTTCGTTATTTCATCCACCTGAAGGATTTTCTATCCCATTAATTTTGACAATTTCAAATGCTTATTCCTTAGTGGTAGTGCAAAACATTGGTTCCATTTTCTTTATTTATAGGGTGCCATTATTCCTACTGCTGGTGGTGGTTCGGCTGTTGTTTTTAATGATGTAGAAGTTTTACGTCAATCTTCTCCAGGCCGCGAACAAAGGTAGATTGTTGTTACATTATCGTTTTATTAAGATTCTTGCTAAGAATAGGATTTTCCTGAAGTAATATTATGAATATCTATTTTTATCCAGGAAATGTGTTCACTTGTGAATCTGACTAAATAATTAGTATGAAATACGATGACTGTGTAAATAGAATAGTTTTCAGTAACCCGTTTATCCAAACATATAACCGTATAATCTTAAGTTTATAAGTCCAAGTTTTCAGTACAATCAGAGCATTCGGAAAAAGTCGTGTATTCTCGCTTACAAACTACCATACAGATTAATTCACTTTATATGGCATACATCCAACTTAGTATATGCCTTCACCCTCGCTGATCGGTTATAGTAATGTTTTTGTGTACTCGTATCAACCTCTAACCTGGATAGTATGATTTATAGTCTCTGCTCATTTTTACGTGGATTAGGCGGGTGCGTTTCTACATACGAACTGTCAAATACGTCCACCTTACACCTCCAAAATGCGGTCAGTAGTTGATTGTGTTGACTCGATTTCAGTAGTATATTCTAAGGGTGTAGTGAAGAAGAACACGGGTGGGGACAATCGATTGTATTTAGCACAAAGATTACAGACTATCTCAATAAAATGTGAATACCATAAAGTCAATCGTCAATTTGCAAAATATCATTCCATCATATGAAACTGTACTGTTCCCGTTGCAAACACTAATCCATTGTCTCCCATTCCATTGTACATGCGTTTTCTTACAATTCCATTCTGCTCTTGCTCTTCCTTTCTTGATCTTCGCCATCTTCTGCTGCCGGACATTACGTTCTTTTAACGCACGTTATATACTACTTATATGAATATAAGTAGCTCACACCACAAGGGTAGTGGCTTTAAAGGGAATTAAAAGATATTTATGCGTTAATTTAGACTACCTCCCCACTACTGTAAACATCCCGTTAAGATTTAAAATGTGTAAGTTTTTTACTTCTATTTATAGGAAAAGTAGTCGCCCCAGAGACACTGATGCTCATTTGAAACAAGTTATAAGCGAAACTTCTCGTCGATCAGGGATAAAACGTCGCTATTCTAATTCACCGACAAGAAGACCTTCTAATGAATCTGTCTCAACACATAGTTCTCAAAGCACAATGGCATCTGACTATTGTCCTATGAGTCCATCTATAGAAAAAATCTCAACAGCTTATAACGATGCTAAATGTTATATCGGCATCGACTGTAATAGAGGAATGGGCTTACGAAAGTATGTTTTTTAATTTTAGATCTATATTGTTTTTCTCCAAACTATATTTCGTGCACTTTAAACTCAGAGGTCCATGATTCTATGGTTCTTAGAATAGTTCTCTGCCATAGTTTCAAAAGATAATAAATGTTCACGCGATACACAGTTCGCATTTGATTGGACAAACTTCCTATTAGTTACTCTATTATACTGTTTTATGTGCTATTCATATCGCTATAATCATGGACATGTATTTCAAACTCGATTGTGCAGTCGTTACTTATTTCTGCGTCCCACTGATTGTAAACCGTGACGCATAATGAAAGCCGCGCCCATAGATGTCACTGGACTCAGAAAATTAGCTTTAACCAGATAGTCGTTAATAAAGCTGACAGTAAAAAGGGAGTTAAATTTAATTCACTGATATTACCTCTGCTATTCTGTCATCTGGCCTGACAATTTCATCTGTGTACTGATGGGATGTGGCAACTCGAACCGATGTACATACGTACCAGGTTTTGCGTTGTGACTGACATTTAATTCAGTTGATTGGAGTCATGAAGGAGACACTTTTAAGAACAGTTTTGCCAAACCTTAGATACATCCTAGTTATTCACAATCCCTCGACAGCCTGAACGGGCAATCAGCATTAACATCCGACTCTTAGTGGCGTTTGAGTGCTACACTAATTGCCTTCGTTGAGCGTTCTTATTTCATAAGCAACTCAAACTCCCTAGTTATAATAACTGAAGTTATCTGAACAAATGAAATTTTTAAAAGATTGGATTCTGTCGTTATCTTACACCTAATTAAAGCTCAGAAACACCAAGCCTAAAAAAACCAGACCTTACTCTGAGTGTAGCTATCAAGTCTGTGGAAAAATCGGCATATGGATGCAGAATTTTAGTCGTATTTCTTGACCTGAAGAATAAATTTACCTCATCAAATTCTAGATGATGCATCAAAAATTGTCTGTATTAATACATTATCTAAAGATAGAGTGCAGTAATCCGTCGTATCACATGAAAAAACAAACTCTGGTGAGTTATTAATTGACAAAACTGGCACAAGTTAAAGATGCGTGGAAAGAAAAATGACTTGTGAAAATTCAAGCAAACGCGATCCAGCAGTTAATGTTGGCTGGTTGTAACAAAACCTCAAGAGACGTGTCTAACCTCTATTCGTTCGAAGAAACAACATGGCAGTAGAATATTAATTATTCCTAATAAAAGGCCTTACACATGTTACGTTAATTTCAGCTAAGAAAAGTAGTATATAAATGCTCCCCAAACTGTTAATAATGATGTAGTCTATTGTAGTTTTCCGACTGTCAGCAAAAATTACCAAGTTAAATTACTATCTTTTGTAATATGATGTGAAAAATTTACTTTTGTGTTTCTTATTTTTACTTATTGTCTACCAGTTATTTCAAGGAACATTGTTTATTTATTTTCCCTTTTTTAGAAGGTCCAGATTGTAAAAAAGAACGTCGGAAGTAAAACTGATTACTTTTTTGCTTGTCTATTTAATATTATATAGAAAAACTACTAACTTATCCATATTCACGTGCATATTTTTTGTTTTTAACCGTTAAAACTATTTATATTTTATTAGTCTTTTGTCATTGCTTATTTTTGACGTACTGTAACACTTACATCAGATTCCCTTATAAAATCAAATACACTTATTTTATAACTTTTCTCGAACCTTTTTGGTTTTTTAGTGGCAGATATTTGAACTTTGTTATGTTACCATGACAATTTATACGGATTACCACTTGCCTACTGGAACACTAGTGGCATTTAGATTACTTTTAGTGCCTCAGTAACACAAACCATGTTCAGCATCTGAAGTTGGTAAACGTGTTACTTAGTGCGGCATGGAGTTAGAACATTGTGAACGTCGATGTAAACTTATCAACGTAATTCATAAGGCAGATAGCTTGCGTCATTAAATCCAGTAATATAGTAAAAATCGGCATTGGTAATACTGTTGATAAGAGTGGAATGGTCAAAAATTAATAGTAGAAAAAAATGTCCCAAAGTACAGGTGGGAAGCTCAAGTTTTTCGATTGTTAATCATGAAGGTGCAAAAACAGAGCTCAAGGAGAAACCTGTAAATATGACGACTACGCGGAATTTTGAAGTCACTCGTCGTTAACTGGGTCCAGGCAACATCTGTTCGTACTTACTGTCCGGAAAACCCCCAAAAGTATCTCGAATTCGATATTCCTCAAAGTAAAGATAACTTCGAATGTAATCGTAAAGATGTTCTTGGAAAATGATCAGCCTATTAAGAATGTTAAATTGGAGTGGCTCAGAAACCATTTCACACTGATACTTATCAGTTGAATTAAAAAGTCAAGTTCTACCTCGTACACATGATGCATCTGTACTGTGTAGAAGCTGTTCTGTCTTAAAACCCAGATTAAGTCTACATTTTAAGACTCAACCTCAGCACTACTTATTTTGTAAATCCGATTAATATTAACGGTGGGTTGCACATGATAAAAACATAACACATTTTACTGTTCTCAATATACAGAAAGATAACACTGATTTAAACAAAGCTTATAGTACATGAATTTATTAACTACAGCAAAGGAATATATAAAACATGATAGGCTTTTTCAAATAAATCTTTACAGTTGACTGAACAAAACAGAGTAGAAGATTATTCACAGAAGAGCAGTAAACACACTAGTAGATCGATGGCGTTTCAAACTTGGAGGACTTAACAAAACAGAATTAGGTTTAATCACATCAACTGGTCGTTTTTGCTGAAAAAAATGGATATTGGGGTTTACTGTTACCATTCAGAGAAAAACAAAATCTATGAAATTTAATTAGTTATTATGTGATAGGATACGTGATTTTGGAGTTCCAGGTGAAGTGTATCTTTATGATGCAGACTATCCAATATGAGTTATTGCAATGCCAAGAGATCGTAAGGTATTTTCTTAAATACATATTAAGTAACTATGTTATGAAGAAAGACTAACCGAACTATTTAGCATATTTCGTAACTCAGCAGGTTTGTGCTTTTAGATAATGATATACCTTTACTGACGCTGCTATTTGAGTTGAAAGTTAAACAGTGAGCAGGTCATTGCTTATATTTGTGTCTGGAAATTTATTGCTAAATCTATAAAAACTCGTTACTTGAATTTGATTAGGCATTGATTTGTCTCTAAAGGAACTAGTGTTAAGGTACTTGCATACGTAGTGGGCTGATTTATTTCAGATCGAAAAATTTGAAAAGGATAGCTAGGATCGAATAATGTCTAGTAGCCGAAAATATAATCACTGCGCTAGAGATATACCAGAAAATTTCCTGAGAACCATATTGTAAATCAGTAGCACTAACAGAAAGATAATTATAAGCAGCTATAAAACTGATCAAATACTAATCTGATACCCGAACCGTACTGCATGGAAGGAAACAGATATTTGAGACGACAAAATCTGTTTTCAAGTCGCCGAATAGCTACACAAAATTACTTCTGTGGCTAAGGTACAAAATATTGATGAGTGTAAACACATAATGTGCTTTCATAGTTAACACACTGAGCAAAGCATGATGAAAATGTTTCGACAGTGTATTTTAGCGGAACATGTATGAAATAAGTTAGCTTTATCAAAGCTTCAGTTGTGAGACATTTCCAGAAGTATACGTCTCATAAGTCTTATACAGGAAGGAAAAGCTAGTCTAATTAAATTAGAAGTTCTGAAGTGAATGTTGACTAGCTTGAGTAAAACCTGAAATAAATTGCTGTAAGCGATTATTACCTAAATGCATCTTTTCATGAAATATAACTAACCTTAATGGCGAAATTACGGGATCTTAGAGAATTCTGGTTAGATGCACCGATATCATCAAATGGGTCGATTTTTTCTGGTTTAATTTGAGCCGTCATAACACTAAAGCACGATAGACCGACCTTGCTCCGTAAATCTAGATGTGTTTGGTCGCGACGACTTTCACTTTTTGACGAACCGACATCGAAACCATCGTTAACATTTGAATGAATCTGGGTAGTTTCAGATTTACAACCAGGAACAAGGCCCCCAGCAAAACGACTCAATAGAGAACCACGCTATAAAATACGAATGAGATTTCATTTGGAAAATAGTACTAAGCAAGCATATATAAGTAGTTACAAGAATCAAGACAGTGATATAATGTGGCTGAGTGTTGGCTACTCACGTGAACGTACAATTGATTTAGGACTGCGAATATGTAGAAATCAAAGACAAAACCATTAGTCAGAGTGGTAGTTTTCCATGTAATGCTTATATACAGAATATGAACACAAAATAAATATGATAAAATGTCATAGGCGATTGGAGGAAATCAGTTTGTAGGTCACTTATTCTCCAATCAATTGAGACCTAACTGTCAAGCCAAACCTTTGGGTTTAGTATCGACCTCACAGCCATGTTGAGGCGCAAATGTAACCTGGTTAGTATGAGAAAGTGAATTATTTATCTAGCCAAAGACATAACACAAGTGTCTTCATCAATGTGAAGTCCTACAAATATGCTTGTTAATACTATTATCCGACTTTTAAGAATAAAGCTTACTAAACAGCTTTGGTTTTTTTTAATAAATAGCTGGATAAATCGTTATTAACTGATCTGTATCAGTGAACGAACTAATAAGATACTAAGGGTTTCTGATACAATTTCTACATCAACTCTTGTGATGATGTTATTGTATCTTTATTATTTCGATTTATTAGGATATATCTTATTGATGACCCATTCTTTATCTGATTTATAATACAGTTAAGCAAAGTGTTAATTAGTCAAGATATACTAGACAAGGAAGAATATAACAAATAAAGAATATAATAAAATGATAAATATTAGTAAACTTACTCTGATCATTTGAAGTCTTACATCACTACCAGTATTGTTAACATTAAATTTTGCAGGAGCAATTGGTTTATCATTATTATTATTAGAAATGATAACATTGTCAACTTTACTATTATCTGTATCATTAGTAACACCTTCATTAATAGGTAGATTATGAGGTTTGGGTTGCAAGAAATAATTAGAGATCAATGGGCTTCTAAGCATAGACGATGGTTTGATGGTCTTTCCTTCAGAGGAGCAGAAAAAATTGAAATATTAGTTTAAAATATTGGTTTTAATAACCAAAAGCTCTATTGCATAATAATAATGTATTAGATTGTGAATTAACTAACGTTTGCCGGTGACTGTCAATCACTTGCAATGGCTCAGATGCAACCACTATATTTTTTCCTTAAATTTTTAGATTTACAATTATCTAATATTTTCTTTAATTTCATGAATTTTTACTTACCTCTTGAAATATATTTTCCTATACCTAATCTTTCCTGCCATCGTTAAAACCATTACTAATTCTACTACTTTGGTGTCTCTCTTAGTAGTTATGTAGTGTAGTGACCCCAAACGATACACATGTACCAGGTTTTACATTGTGTATGACTGACTACCAATGAGAAATTCTACTACGAAAGATTAAAATAAATATGGTACTTCGGCAATTAATTAAGCAGAGTTAGAGAAATAAACAGTAGCATATAAGCTGTAATACTATTGTGATGGATACATTGAGCTATGATGAATATAAATATTCTGAAGGATATACAGAAACCGAAATTCAATAGCCTTTTAGTAAAGCAGAATAACAGACTAGTAAAAAGTGGGATTAATTGAAATAGTTATCCGTGGAGGAGACATCAGTCAATCATAAACAGCTTAAAACTTCGGACATAGGTCCATTAGCTCAAGTTGCCACCTTTCTCACCAATATGCTGAGAGGGAACTAAAGAGATGAAAGGTAAAAGAGTGTGAATAATGGTAGTGTCAGTGATAACGAAAACAGAGAATACAGGTTGAAAAGAAATAGAATAATTATGAGCTATTCTGACTGATTTCGAATCTTGTCGCCAAATATATTAGAATAATTTAACATAATCAGTAGATTACAGCGCATATCTCAACCAGAAAGTTAGAAGCTCGAAAGACAGCCTTGTCCAACAGCAAAGATCTTCACTGATTGGTACTACTTTTATTTTGTCACTCCTAATTTCTTCTATCCTACTCAAACACTAGACATTGTTATACGTAATAACAGGCGTGACAGTTACGTATTACAGATGTTTGATAGCTAATGTGACGACTTTATGAAACAAGCACAAATGACACGATCTTGAGAAACATTTAAAATTGTTCTTGTAACCTGATTTGTTAGGTTTATACCGATTTCTAAATTTGTAATTGAAGCCTTACATATGCGTACTTATATAACTGATTGAATATAGCCAACATCAGTGTACAATCAGACTGGAGCCAAACGAGATTATGATGAAATTAATAAGCGTGTAAAAAAATGAACATGTATTTATGGAGTGAATATCTGGACAACAAATAAGACATTTGCGTGAGTAATTCGGAATACTGTAATAGTTGAGTGTTAAACATATACGCTTATATAAAAAGTCAAGATTATAAGCGAATAACTGACATGATCAAAGTGTGTGAATAATGACTCAAGAAGATAAAATTAATTAGTCCGTCCAAAATCTAGAATAATTCATGAAAATGTGACATAGTACTAGACCGTACGGTGACCTCGTGAAGAAAGTTGTACATTAATGTGAAAAATATCTAATTTCGAAAAGAATACTAGAGTGGTGTGTGAGTGACATCAACAATAAGTAACGAGAAAAGTACTATTCGGGATAGAGTATAATCATACATGAACGGTGAGTGTTCAGTACAAGTATCACATCTATGTAAAAAATATATATGAATACTGTACGAGGGTGGACTATTTTTTTCATCGTTCAATATCATAAAAGTTTTCCAACCTAAAGTGAGCTCGTTCCATTTTTTCATGTCACTTCGCCCCATTATTGTGTACACATTCCAGCGACTGAAGTCATTTTTGACTTAGCGTACTTTAGTAGTTTGGCTTTGAGATAATTCTTTAGGCTTCGTAGACCAATCGCCCCAAATAACTGTTATTAAATAAATCGCACGGTGTATGAATTCAGAAGGCAACACGAAAGTGCCGACTTCGGTTTATCATTGAATAGCGCAGATCACAAAGCCACAAACATACCAAGCGAATTCGAGCAGAAAAGCTAATGCGCGCGAGCAAGCAAATATATAGGCGGATTCAGAGTCGAATCAATTCATAAGATTCAAACACATACAAATATGGAAAGTGAATGATTCATCAAGCGATCTTAAAGCAACTAACATTTAAGCTCGAGAGAGGGATATGTGCATAGGCTTCCGCATATGATCAAGCATACATGATAAGAATACCAAGATATACAAATTGTTACTGATCAAACAACGCTCTTCTAAATAAGTGAATTGAAGGGCTAAGCAAAATTAATCAGAAACAAACCTAATTGTAGGAGAGGTGCTTTTATATGTCTATGAATGCCTTTAATTCTAGCATGCCTTTTACTAAGACCGATTGTCTTTGGTATATTCTGAAGCGTCTATCACAGCAATGGCTCTATGAGACTTTAATTATTTAAAGTCATACATTTTCTTAAATAGAGCAAGAACAAAGATTGGTGCAGAATAATATGAATTCATTTTATTTCGTTAGGTTCTCATCAGCTGCTTACAACCTAAATTATTTGAAATTCAACATTATTACAGATATTGACATATTTATATATAAGAGTGTGATTAAGGATCAATACATGTGTATGATGATCTAGCAAGCAAAGATTCAGATAGAGTTAATGAGCTCATAAAATGTTTGATTCCAATAAATAAATAAAGTTTGAGAGGGAAAGTTCTGGAACATTGAAATAGTGATTAGAACTCATTAAAATAGATTAATGGTAATAAAGAAAATATGAATTGAAATCAATCAGTTATGTATGATGTAATTTATATTTCAGAAAGAGTCGCAATAATGACGTAATAAATAAATAAATAAATAAATAAATAAATAAATAAATAAATAAATAAATAAATAAATAAATAAATAAATAAATAAATAGGAGCAAATTAATAGAAAGAGTGGGGGTTATTGTTACCAGGGTAAAGAAAGATTTATTACTGTCTCTTTTTGTATACATAGATCTGGTTTTAAACGTTTGATTGCTAACGCTTCAGCGAATTTCAAAAGGTTCAAGTTTGATTGTTTGTTAATCACCTTGAAGGACTTCAGTATATCAGCTTTATGTCCTGTATCAAGGAGATGTCTTGCGATAGCACTGTTGAATGAGTTCAATCCATTTAATCTTAAACTTTTCGGAATATGTTCTTTGAATCGGACGTAGGCTCTCCTTTCTGTTCTACCTATGTAACTGCTTTGGCAGGTACATGTAAATTTGTATACACAGTTGGTGGTAACATGAAAGGGATACCTGTCGACCTTTGATTGTGTCAAAGAACATGTTGTTTTGGACAGGACAATCAATTTCGCTGCAGGATAGGTTCTTGTCAGTGCAGTTTTTAGTCTCATATTGATTGAACCTGTGACATCGTCACCTTTGAATTGAAGTTTAATAAAAATAGGCTTTTTATTTGCTGTAATTTCTTTCGGTTTTTTATCTTCACATTTGCCGTATTTCTCAATAAATTTCAGTGGGTATCCGTTATTCTTCAAACATTTTTTAACATTCATAACTTCCTCTTCTAGTGTATCGGAAGTACATATTCTTTCTGTTCTGTAAAACAGTGTTTTGACCAGTGCCTTTTTGTAACTGATTGGACAAAAGCTATTGAAATTAAGATAACTACCATTCCATGTGTCTTTCTTATAAACTGAACGTTGAACTGTACCATCTTTTCTTCTTTTCATCGCGATATCGAGAAAATGGAACTTGTTTTCTTTTTCATGTTCCATAGTGAAATGGATATTCGGATGTGCTTCGTTGAAAAACTCTAGCAGATTTATTGCATGTTGTTTATTATTACATACGATGAAGGTATCATCAACATACCTCGAATAATACGTCATTTCATCAATCGCTCGTTTGAGTTTGGTTCTTTCGAGGTTAGCCATGAAAATATCTGCTAGGACAGGACCTAACGGACTTCCCATCGCTACACCATCGGTTTGTTTGTATATGATATTGTTATCATATTACACATTTCCGATGTATTTACCAAATGCTCGTATATCGAACAACTTGCTGCGTACTAAGTAAATTGGTGGTCTAACGACACCCGAATGCAGTCGAGAGAACTTCCTACACGCTGATGATAGCACGGTCGCAACCAATCCAACGTTGGTAAGGGTCAGCAACGCTATCATAGACATAAGTTTGGATTCATACTTCCGCTAGTAGTTCTCAATATGCAACAATGTTCACTTATCTCATTTATACGAGAATTTCAACAGATTTCCACCATATATCTATAGTCACTTGATGTTTAGTCGATAAGCCTTACTATCATGTTCATACATTCATCAAAATTTTGACTCAGCATTCTTGGCCTATAGAAATCGGATGTTGGACTATGATCATAGATTTGATGAAGAAAAATAATACCAACGCTGAATATTCCTAACAAGCACTCAATAAATAACTTACCACGATTGACTGGTAACTTATTACGTACAACTATTTGAGTTTTCAACTTCGTTTGATATTTTAGTAAAGCCTTTTTTCCTAAAGATAAAACCTATTAAAAAGATAATATATAGAAGTATATTTTAACAACTGCACAGCTGGAAAATTAAGTTTACAGCAAATAATAAATTGAAATGGTCTAAAATCTGACTAATCTACAGCTGTAAAATTATACAAATAGAAAACTTAGTAAATAAAGGAAAAAGATAACTTTATTGTATACATCTGAAATGGATAGTACATATCATCACCAGTTTGATTATGGGATCAGAATACATATCGAATATTGCAAAAGGATTTAAAAAACATTCGGTTTTCAATATTATTAGTGAATAGTACAATTGTAACTTGTTTGACTATGAAGCTGTGCGATATGGGGTCGAATCCACTAGAGAACATTAGTTCCCCCGAGATTACTAGCACACTTTACTGACCAAGTGCCAAATAGAATGAAAACTAGGAGAAGTAGGGTTTCGAATTGACTGCTTTCAAACGCCATTTTACATTTCACTATAGTGCGCGCGATGTCGAGTGACTTGAACTAGTGGCTAAATTTCAACTTGGCTGATAGAATTCAAACATCACTAAGAAGGACTTGATATAAATGACATTGGACACTTACTCAGTGATCAATAAATTGTAAATAAATACTTATATTAGCAGTGAGAGTGAACTTACACCATTCGATAAGTCGTCAGTTACTATTTTCGAATTTTCCATTTCTTCATCAGATTCTAATACTGAATCATTAGGATCTTTATCATTTGTTTGTTTATTAGATGATGAATGTATTGTGTCAGAATCTAAATAATCATTTTCAATGGATTGATTATTTCCATCATTCGAGGATTTCATTGGACCACGACGTAACCAATTGTCTATAGGACCAAAAGGTATACCATGATTTTCATTTTCACTTGAATTATCATCATCACCACCACTATTATCCATGTTTATTTGATCATCAAATGGATCATCATTATCTAAAAATTAAGTTACTGATTAATACGTTTTTCAAATATCTAGTTTGGTAATTTACACATCCGAGAAATTCGAATGTACATTAGAAAGAACTAGTAGAGTGAAAAGCAATGCGCCATCCCTTATTATATTTCTACAGTAATGAGAAATTAGTGTAGAAAATGAATGACATTAACATTTCAATTGACTTTGACTTCAATGAGAAGTTATTTCTCTTTAAAGGCAACGAAATAGTCTACATACATTACAGAAATGCAAAACAAACCAAACAAATTAGTCGATGTAAAGCTAACGGTTGACGTAATTCTCTAGGTCGGATTCTGTGAATGAAAGTATGCTACATATAAGAAGTCAACACATAGAACTTAAATGTGATGATTCATATGGCTTCACCCAGCTAGCGAATCGTGCATCTAGGAAATTGGTAAAAAAGTATCAGGTGTAGATTTAGCTAAGGATTGTTCATAGTTAAAACAACTGCCTATAAGTCTGTAAGACATACTTAAGTATCTTTGAATGGAGAGATATTGAACATGTAACTAGTTATCTAAATAGAAATTCCTTGAATACATGCAACCTAGTTTGTTTAATTTTAAAACTGTGAAATCTTGTCTTCAATTTTATCCATATTCATAAACGGAACATAAGCATTCATAAAAAATACTTATATAATAAGGTTACCTAAACCGCGCCAACGAAAACGTCTCTGACGAACTCGTCCATTTTCAGCATGTAAATCACCGTCTTCAAAATAAAGTTCCTGTCAAAATATTTAAAAAAAACATCTCAACGATAGAAATCACTAAAATATGATTAATATCGCTCTAATAAGAATATTCTCGGAGAAAATATGGGTATTTCGAGTCGCAGTGAATACGCTGAGACATACTGATATAAAACTATATCTGGTTACTGGATAACAATTTGAACAAAATGTGGTAAGCAATACATTACCGGTATATATGTATGGAAACACAGTTTTTGGTTTTTTATAACTAAACGATTGTTTACGTACATAAATCTTATAAAGGTTGGAGAAATTCGTTAACTAAATCCTCTAAAAACTCAATATCATTGTGAAATATACTATAAAGGAGCGCTAAATTAAGTAACTACCACACACACTTGTACCTTAGTATAAACTATTCTTATAATGTGACTTAACTCTATCTAAAACGAAATAAGCTTACGGGGCTTGAATAGGTGAACAATTGGCCAAATTAAATTGTCAGGTAGATCATTTGATTTTCCAGATAATAAAGGTGACCAAAACGCACCGAAACACCATTCAGAGGTGACTAATTACTAAATATTTTTGAGGGACGTTATTTCAACTCATCCACTATTAGTGTATCTCTTTAAATGAAGATAGTCAGCACTATTTCTACGCGTTAGCGAAAAAAAAGCCTGACTGTATTCATCGATGTGACATTTTACTGTCTGATGTTTTCAATTATAATATGCAAACGAGTCTAATCTTTAGTTCATAAGTGAATTTCTCTGTAGAAGAATAAATGTTAGTACGCATATCAGATTGACATATAATAATAAGCATTACTATAGGATTGCGTTCTCTAAGGTCGGTGCTTTTAAGTTTATCTCGATGATGTTATAAAGAAAGATAATGAAAGTTTCAAAAACAAAACCATCTAGATGAAAGAATGCAATATCACCATAATTATCCTTGTGAACTACATAGAGCATTTATTTATCAATGTATTAGTTAAACGGAATTGTGCACGAATCTTTTAAAAAAAATACACGATGAACAGACTTTGATAAAGGATTATGAACAGTTTCAATAGATTGACAATCATGTAGGTTCAAATTTAAAGTATTGGTTTCCTCAATACAATATGGCAACTATTGAGCAGGAAATCCAATTCATCATAAAAAATTGTTATGACGACTATGTGATCTTTTGGTGACGGATTAGTGGAAGACAAACTGGAGATTCAAAACAGGGTAAATACTATGAAAATATTAGCGCAAGGAGTGGGTTTGCGAAGATTGTTGAAATTCATAGTTTACTTAACGGATTGTTCTAGTACAAAATACTAGACAGTTGTTTTGTCCCAGGATAAGGCTCCTCAGTAGTTCGCATCTACGACTCTAGGGGTAAGATCCAGGACCTTAGGTCTAGTGGCAAGCTGTTAACTTTCAGATATCTGAGGTGGCACTCAATGATTTAGATATCTAACTTCAATCAGTTCATGATATTGCGTAACCGTCTTTCAATGGCAATAATGGACATGGTTGTAAACCGAAAAACAACCTCTACTAACTGACTGAATAATGATAAAAGTTGTCAGAATAACAATCGGATAAGTTGGAGAAAAAAAATAATAATTTACGTAAATATACCTTTAGATAACGTATTTCACGTAGATCTTGATCAGTTTGAAGGCGGTGGTGTACACGTTCAATTTGACGTCTTAAACGACCAGCTGATGGAATATCTGAATCATCTTCGTCAATTAAGTCAGCGAATTCTTCATTAGCATCATCATTGGGATCTAATTCATCTTCATCGTCCATGAAATATGCTCGTTCATTTTCATCACCAGACAATTCGGCTTCTTCATCCACAAAGTCGTTTATACGAAATCTAAAAATATATAATAATATTTATGTATAATATAAGTCTTAAAAACAGAATAAAAGCTTTAGACATTAAAATAACACAAACTTTCAATTACAAATACACTCCTCTTTGAATTCAGTCTTTTATCTTGTTTACTTATTTATTTATCTTCATTTAATGCATGCTGTGACATTTTTGATTCATTCCATATATAAAATGATATGTTTTCTTAATATACACAGACCGAAGACAGCATATAGTTGAATGAAATTTCTTCTCAAATCACTTACATGTACACACAATCTGTTATCTTAACACTTTCCGTTTCATACCACATATCTCGTACACATTAATGTAAATACCTACTTTAAATATTGTTCACGTTGATTGGATGACTTATTCAGTATACAGTAAACCAGAGAACCATGTACGTATTTATATTCGATAATTTTGTTGTTTGATTATATTTTCTTTGAAAAACCTTGGACCAGATTGCCAGGCGAAATGTTGGATTTACTTCAAATTCTTTCGCTGAGATTTTACAAATACATTCTTCCTGTTTAATGACTCACATTAACTCGGCACCCAAATATTGTGAAACTATTCGTTCAAATTTAGACGAAAGTTCTTATATAAACTTTAAGCAAGTTGTTTTATTGAAACTATGAAATTATGATATCAAGCGGAATTTAAACAAATTATTATTATTAAGCGTCAGAATGGCAAATCAAAATAAAGATAATTTTCTTTCAACTAATGTAGGATTCACAAGTTCAGTTGTTTACATTTAACATACAAAATATTCATTTACAAAACCGATTAGTTATTTCGTTTAATAATTAATGAAATAGGAACATAATAAGTGATGAACTTCAGTTTTTCAAGAAAACAGTATCATTGAGAGAAAAAGATATTTGCATAGGTTATAAAGTGCCCAAAAGTTACCTAGGCATTATTTATTTATTGGTTTGATTGTTGTATGATTTAAAGTCATAAAAATGACTCAGGTCAACCCCCCTCATATTCTTTGCTACTAGAATTTTACTCGAGTCAAATAAAAAGTTTACTTAACTTCTTCGAATTGTGTATTGTTGAGACAAACATCCTTTCTGAGATGTGGCGGTCAGTCATAGCAGTTTAAGTAAGTAAACATTGAAACAAAGTAGATAACACCAAAACATTACAAATACTCATACACAAGGGTAAGATGATCACCAATTATGTAAGAAATCTAAAAAAATATCACATGACATGTTAAGTATCTGTGCAGGTAACTCAAAGGTGGAATTCTATCGTTATGAAAAAAACTGTTGGCAAGACAGAAAAGCATTTCACTTACTTTTTCTTTTTTTTAGTTTCATTCGACTGTATAGTGAGACGTTGAACTTCCTCTTCATCATCAAAATAATTGTCTTTTTCTTCCTCTTCATCTCTTTCCGAGGACTCGTCATCATCACTGCGATTATCTTCGTCAGTTATATCATCAGGATCAATATTTTCTTCATCATCTCCTGCTTCAATAGTATGATCATCTGATTCATCAACACTTGAGCTCTTATCCTCTAATTCCACATTATCATCTGTATGGAGTACTTCTGGTAAATTGTCACCAGTGAAATTAGATTCTGCAAAAGATATACATTAGATTTATTAAGAAACATGCAAAAAACAAACCTGATGTGGACTTAAAAGGATTATTCCGTATGAGTGAAGCTGGTTCAATACAGCTATCATCCTTCTTTTCTTCATTCCCTTCTCCTTCTTCTTCATCATCTTCATCAAAAACTAAAATTCGTCGACGAGATGAATTCTATGTATGGAGAATGAAACAGTGGTAGACAGATTCAAATTTAAATAAAACTAAACGAACAGATTACGAGCATGAGGAGAATTAATACAAGCAAAACGAAAATTTAGACTAAAGAAGAACGTTAATAAAGATAAGTCATCTGATATATTAAGGTTTACAGGTCCAAGGGTCATCTTAAAAAATGTCAAGGTATTCATTGTGTTCATAACACTAAAGAATGCAGGATGTTTACAGAGATCGATTTGACTAAGAGGTTGAAAACATAAGTAAGCGCCCTTAATTACATCCACATGGCATATATGGGTAAGAATGAAATAGGCATCACTAACCAATCCTATTGGTTATCATAAATTCTAGAGATGAATCTCTATGAATAATAACAGTCAATCTATTTAAGGACAGTAATTTTATAGAACAGGTTGGGAGAAATCACTTACTTGAGTCGTAAACACAGAAGTAGGGTGCTCAGATTCCTGAAAGTCTGAAAGAGAATATAAACAATCATGAATTCTGTAATTCATTGTGATAATGAGCAAGTATTATTACTATTTAAGTTCTGAGTCACCTTTTTATGCTACATTAAGGTGGTCGCCACTAAGCGTTGATAAATCGGGATTCTCAAGAAGTTCATCTGTGACGAGAATAAGTCAATGCGAAACTCTTTGACTATGAAATTGTCACACATGAAATACTAGTTACTTTAATACTGTAAATGGGTCGAAGTAACATATGTCGACTTAAACGAAAATTAAATGGATTAAAAACTATTACTAATAATTTTGTAGTTAGCCGATATAACATCAGCCCACTAATCTTATGATTGTTCTTCGTTTTTTACTCATACCCTTATAGCAATTCTTCAAAATGACTAGTTGTCGCTAATTTAAGTAAATCAACATAACTCTTCTGTCTCTTGTTCTTACTATCAGTTCTATTAACCTTATAATCACTACAGGATTACCCGACTTACAACCATTTTAATCACGAAAGTATTCACGTTTACTCTTAGTTTTCAGGGTTTTTCGAATTATCATTATTGTCACAACCGTAATGTCAATGAAACTGATTCGCAAATACATTATGTAGATGGACATTACAAAGAAAAACCTTGCTTATTTTATTGCCATATAAATCGAACTTCTGCAGGATTATAGTGGATATTAATGAGTCATTATGTGCACATTCCCATCGTTTACATAATCAATTGGTTTTATTTAGGAAACCGCCGAAAACTAGTAGGCACTGGATGGCTGTTTCGTTTAAGTATGGGCCTCCTCTCAGTAGTGCATCCACGACACCATTGGAGAGGATCATACCCAGGACCTAAGGTCTCGAGACTACTGAGCCGCAGTCCGATGATGTGATATACATGTTCAATTTCAATGAACTTGAGCTATTACACGAACGACTTCCATTACATGTGGTGAGTAATTGACTTGCACCCGACATGGTTGAATTTCATGAATCAAACCTTTTAACTAGAACTTTTGGAATAACATCTCAAAGTTAGTCACTTGTGAGCAAGTGAATATTTCAAATATAAAGGGTTTGTGGAGATTGTTGGCTTGTCATGGTTTATAAATATTGATCTCGAAACTGTAAAACTATATATTATTTCTTAAAAAAGTTATCGATATGTGAAAGCTAAAGAGCATATAGAATGGAATTCACTTTATTCTAAGACGTTTGTTAGCCTGTTTAACAAACCAGTTAGTACAAGTTATACCAAATCAACTGAATGTAAAAATTACCTGGATCATCATGATTATTTACAGCTGACTTTACACTTTCATTGACAAAGCCTTGTGATTGGTCACATGTAGACTCGCCAAATGGATTACGACAGTTTTCATGAGAATCTGTTTAGGAAGATTTATAAATAGATGATGAAAATTAGATAAAAGTAGCTTTATTGCTGCTGTGGGACATTTAAACTACAATTCAGCATACTTTAATTACAAACAAATAGCTAGAGTTATGATGAAGTATTTTTACGATTGTCTGCATTGTAATGTATGATATCCTATTGTTTTAGTGATCCTGAAAGGTGATTTGCCCATCCAACTGCTTCCATGTTTTAGTCCATTTTTCTAGTTATTAGAAATTAATGAACTAAAAAAACACAAAAGAAATTGACAAGAAGGATCACAGACAAAAATATCTAGTGAAACGAAAACATAAAATCTATTTTTGACAGGATAAATGACGGCATTTTATAGTAACATGATTAATCTGTGACTAAATGTTACCTTATACTAATTCCCAGTAAAATGAAATACTTAAACTATTTGAAAATTACAACTGAAAAGGCAAATAACACTGCAAATATATGGAAGAAAACTTATCAAATTATCATATGATGAAGTAAAACATTATCATCATCGTTTTAGTTCAAAAGTGGAGATGAAATACCTGAATTATTACTATTGATAATTGAGTTTTTCACTTTATTTGTTGATTCTTGTGACGGGACACATATTGATCCGCTGAATAGATTACCATGATTTTCATGTCGAATCTGGGAATCTATCAACAGAAAAACACAGACAAGGAAATATAATACTTAACTTCAAAAGTAAACCCAAAATTAAATACTTTCAAGAATCAAAGAAGCAGTAAGAAGAGTTAGTGAGGGGAATATAACAAGGAGGTTTTCCATTAACATATTAAAACCCTTATCTCGTATTTACTGTTTTTAAAAATAGAATCCATTTAAATATGTCGAAAAACGATTAGACGCAGAAAACTGAACAATCACAAATAAATACACCATCAAGAAGAGGTGGATCAGTGGTTAGGGTGTTCAGCCACAAAGTACGTAGTACGAAACCTACTTCATCTATTACGTTTTGGCTAACCGGGCAGTAGTATCACTTAGAGTGTGACTTAAAGCCAAGTGCATGATTCTGTACCTGGTAAATAAATATCAATGAACAGTACCAGCTTCCGAAAACTTTAATAAGCCTATAAATGATAGTATCGAAAAATCGAAACGTAATTCAAAAATCGTACAATAAAGAACTAGAGGTGTGATGGATGCGAAGCAATTTTTATGATCCTTACAACCAACAGGAAAATGAAACGTTATATCAATAAAATCTCTAACAGGTTCCGTTTCTTTTCGTCATTAAATCTATGGAAGAATGAAGACTTAAGTGGATTAGTTTAGTGAAGAGTAATGCATATATCTAAGAAAAATATACACAAATTACCCAGATCATTATCATCAGCCAAATCCATGAAAGCTTGCGATTGAGTACCTATTGATCCTCCAAACAAAATACGATGATTATCGTGATTAGTTAGGGAATCTATGAAAAAAACAGAATGTAGTTGAAATAACGATATAATTCATCTGAATCTTCAAGAGACGTGGGCATCTCATTGCCTTAAAGTGACATGGGAAAACAACGTTATCAACAACAAAAATACTCAATTGGTTTGGGATACTGTTTCAAACAGACCTAAAATGATCAGAAATGGTAATAAATTTAAGGAAGTGAATATTAGGTGATTTATGAAATAGTGTTAGCTACAAAAGGGCTATATCAAACTGAAATGTCGAAACAAATTTACGGCATTCAACTCGAATAGTGAGAAGTCGCCAAGGTCAGTATTTGGAAGAGTTATTATTGGATATAAGCTTTTGATCAGTGAGCATTATCTACTTTTCTGTGTTTATTCAGAATATGTAAAACATCCGTATATCTAAATTAGATATTTAACTAATATATCCACCCAGTCAAAAATATTCAAATACCTGTTACATGACTACCTGTGATTGATTTTGTAGTCTCATCAATAAGTTCTTGTGATTGGTTACTGATTGATCCTCCAAAAAGATTACAACGATCGTTATGGACAACCTGAGAATCTATGTATACAAACAAAACGAGCAGATTTAGCGAACAAAACAAGAAAAAGATGAAATAAAACATACTTACTCATACAAAAACTGTGATATTATAGAATGCACTAGAAGGTATAAGCCAACGTACAATATACAGTGAAATGTATGAAAACAAGTAAACAAATAACAAATTGATCTAATTTTACAAGCTTCAATTATTCACTGAAACTAATATGTACGTATTGATAATTTCATAGGATAAATGCTATCATGATTGTTAAAAAAAAGCATAGGAATAAACAAAGAAATAGTCATTAAAGCAATTAAGTATCAATAAGCCTCAGTCGTCAAGAAAATAGTGTACAACTAGAAAAAAAACAATGAGCTAGAATGAAATCAGAGATAAATTAAAGTTACTGATACAAATTAAAAAAAGATAAGTTAAATGAAGTTTAACAGAATATACAGCTACCATTTATCTTAATAATCCTACTAATGATTGAGACAGTGAATTCAAAGGCAGACAAAATATCGGAAAATGTTATATGAAAATGTAATAATTAAGAGAAATAGTGGTTAATTCATAGAATAATGTTTCCCTGAATGAGTTAAATTGTAATCGAACCAAAACAGAAACTTTTTTCTATATAGTGGAATTTCTGTAAAGTGAACAAAGAGTGATGTTGACTCTATTTTTTGTTTTGTTAGTTTTCATTGTACTAAGAAGATCAATTGTTGTTAAATCAGAGACCGCTATAATATAAGTTGGAACTGGTTTTCCGAATTGTTATCTATTATATTCTTGTTGTATAGCTACTGAGTAACTAGAATACTATGTATATGTATTTCTTGAATCAGAATCTCTTAGTTAACCTATAAACTACTGTTATACGACTTACTATTCCTAATTCGTTGCCAGCCCCTACTCAAAACCACTTTTGATTAGTTTATATATCATTGTTATTTTTCATTTTATTATGTACTGTGGTCTTGTACGTCTGTGTAGAAAAATACGTCTGTTTGAAAAATAGGGATCGTAGAGGCTGGGTGCCGCGTTTGAACTTAAAGGCAGGATACAGAGAGAAGTTTGTGAATGGTAAACTGATAAGAACTTAGCTGTCGATTCAGGTGTGTAATTGGTCGTGTCAGAGGCAATAAGCTATATAGTAAATAACAGATCAAATGAAGAGCAAGATTCTGATTGGTAGCTTATCACGTTGTTTCGTCAGATGGTTTCAAGGCATAAAAATATCACTGCTGAGCAACATTCAGTTCGAATGAATCGGACTCGAAACACAGAGAGTTGATATTCCCGTTTCCAACTAAACAGTTATCAAAAACTTTCGTGGTTTCTCATCAGCTGCTTACAACCAAATATGTATTTGAATTTTACATTGAGGTAAGATATAATGTGGAACAATTGACATAAATGAATGTAAAGAATTGTAATGACAAAGGTTATCAATCACAACTATATATATGTGTGCAAGAACAGGTCAGAGGTTATTTGGTGTTATAAATAAAATAATATATTTGTAATATCCCAATGAGAAAAAAATCTACTACTACATGAAAGATGTTTTATTCCATATGTTTATAACACAGTTGTTGATCCAGAAGCTGTTTTGGTCAGGAGTATGGTGTTAAGAACAAATAATCATCTAAGAAGCTAAGCAATCAATCTTGAAATGATGAATAATATTAGTGGCTCAGAATAAGGATATGTTCTTTGGACTGAAAGGTTTAGTTGTGAAGCCTTCATTATCTTTCTCGACAATCTAATCAAGTTCATACTTCAGAAAGAAGTAGAAGTCAACCAATCCACCTAACACAAGTATTTAAAAATTCAAATGGTCCATTTAATAGTCTTTCAGTGTTTTATTTCAAACACCTTTCTATATTTTAACAAAGTACAGGATTGATTATCCCCAGGAATTCAAAACTACATATCGCATAGCAATGGTCAAAATGAACGATATTTAACCAGTCAACTCAGTGAACTCCATCACTACTCAGTCAGTGTGATACAATTTTTCTCATATTGTCAATAACAAAAGCACTACTACTAGTAAATGTGCATGAATACATAAAATGAGCGGTGCATGAAAATGGTATCTCTACATATAAGGAATATTAAAGAACCAAATAAGATAAACACCTATATCATCATTCTCATCAAAGGATTTAGTTGTGACCGGATCCACAACTACTTGAGATTTGTCACACATCGATCCACTGAAGAGATTGTGACGATTTTCATGGTGAACCTGAGAATCTGCAAAAGAACATGGAAAGAAAAAAATATGAAGAAACATTGTGAATGTACCAATACAATATTTTTTTAAAAATTAACTAAACATGCATACAACTGAGCGACATTTCCATTCATTGGCTTTTAATATCAGTCAGTCAGTCAGCTGCAACGTAGGACCAGGCACATATACGCATCGGTACAAGTCGCCATACCGTAAGATGAACACAGGATTCATAGAAGTACTTAATTCAGTGGTGGTAATGTATAAAAGAAAGATTGCATATAAAGACATAGTACAGGAAGAAAGATTTAGTACGTAGAAAGAAAGATATGGAGTGATTTTAATCTCACGATTTAAAGGAAGACAGAAAGTGTATACACCTATGCCACTGTGATCGATTCTGAGCCATGTCACCAAGAATCTCCAACCATTGGTTACGATAGTCACGCGGACCCTAACTAACTAGTCTGCATCTACCAACATGGCCCAGATCAGTAGTTAGTGTCTTCAAGCACTGATGCCACGTTTTGGTTTGGCCTTCCCTAAATTTCTTCCAACCATCCGCAACACTACTCAGCATTGCGCGTCGTGGTAATCGATGGTTGGGCATGCGTAATACGTGGCCCAACCATCTCAGTCGATGAAGATTCACAACCTCATCAACTGATTTACTACCAGTCCCTAATACCCTGCGTCTAACCTCACTGTTACTTACCGGTGATCCCAGCAGACGCCAGCAATATTTCTAAGACATCTGTGGTCAAATATTAGTAACGTACGAGTGTCTTCTACCCTTAATATCCATGTTTGGCAGTCATAAAGTAGAACAGAACGAACTGCCGAACAGTCTACTCGTCGTTTAATTGATAGACGGATATCTCGCCTTTGTCATAAGTGACGTAAGTTGGCGAAAGCCAAACGAGCTTTTCGAATCCGTGCTGAGATTTCGTCAGACACCAACCTGTTAGGGTTGATCAGAATTCCAAGATAAATGAAGTTGTCAACGCGTTCGACTACTTCACTCTCTATCCTTAGTTCAGGTGTTGACGTAGATCAGTCCTGAAGCAACAACTTGCAATTAGAGGGAGAGAAGCGCATTCCAAACATTCTGGCATTGTTGCTTAGTGCTACCAAAAGACTCTGCATTTCATCAGCGTCTTTACCAAACAGGACTATATCATCTGCGTATTCGAAGTCGATAAGTGGACCTCCTGGAAGGAGATCAATACCCGAGAATTCAGTCAACGAGAGTGTTATTTCCATCAGTAGGTCTATGATGAAGTTAAACAAAAATGGAGAAAGTGGACAGCCTTGACGGACACTGCTTGAGGTTACAAAAGCAGATGACAGTTCGCCGTAAGTTTTGACTCGACTGGTAGTGTTCGAGTAAAGAGCCTTCACAAGGTTTATGTACTTCTGAGGTACGCCTTTCAATGACAGACACTGCGACAGAATCTCGCGGTCTACGGAGTCAAATGCTGCTTTTAAGTCTAGAAAGACCAGCATTGTCGGACGCCGATAGGTATGCCTGTGTTCTAGAACCTGACGATTGGTGAATATGTGGTCGATGCATCCACGACCAGGTCTGAAGCCCGTTTGATTCTCTCATGTTTGTAGTTCACGAGTCTTAGTTAAGCGTCCGATAATTATCGAGGCTAGTATTTTAGATGCTTTTTAATGAAACTATACAGTATCAAGGTTATGGTACTACTGAGAAATATGGAATCAGTACTGATCTTTTGTTTCCTCGACAGTAATTTGTGCATGATTACAAATTGTAAATTTTCAGATGGTATGCTATTTTTATAGACAATGTTATCAATAAAAAAATTATTATTACCGAAACACAAGCAAATTCATACAAACAGTCATTCATGCTATAAGAATATGCAACACAGGGTTATGTCAAATAAATTAGAAAATTTTAGGACAATAAAGTTAAAATACCAGCATTGCTGTTTTCGACACTTGACTTTGTAAGGATGTCCACAAACAATCCTGACTGGTCACTCACTGATTCACCGAACAGATGACGACGGTTTTCGTGGAGAACTTGTGATTCTGTATTTATGAGAAGTAAAACAAAACATTGAAGAGGATAAAAGATCAACATATGAATACTAATGTTAAATAAACATGGTAGTGCACCAAAATCATCGTAAATATTTATAAGTAATGGCCTGAAGGTTAAATCATTTGACTTTGACAAATAAGTTTGTAATTGACAACACGAACCAATAAATGTTAGATTACCATTGAAGACCTGGATGCACTGAACGGCTGTTTCATCTTAGCACGGCATTCCTCAGCAGAGCTCACCTACGACTCCGCACGTGGGATTCGAAACCAAGACTTTCGATCTCGCGCGGACGCTTGATTTCTAGACTACTGAGGCGAGATGTAACGGTGTTGGTGTCTAACTTCAATTAATCCACGACATTGCGCAAGTGTTTCCCATTGTCTTTGGTGTGTCGCTGCATCACACCAAACATAGTTGAACTCCATTGGTTTAAACCCGGCTGCGCCTATGTCAATTTTAAAAGTCAAATCGTACGCTACCCCGTACAAAAAATATAAAACGGAGCTAAGTACACAAATTCATGTTTTGTAACTACGGTATATTAATTAATGAATTAATTTTCATTAAGGAAACTTAAAAATATCAAGAAGATATTCTATACTTTTCGCCTTCAGTAGTCAAGATGTTGTTTTAATCACAGTTATGGCAGAATAAGTATACCATCGAAAAAATCACTTAATGTGTTCATATAGGGTTCAGTGTGATAAAAATATATTTGACACTAGCATGTGTATGTCACAGTTATATGTATTTATCGTTAAACAATAAACGCAATAAAATACGATAATTACAAAATATTTTTCATATTTAACAGATAAACGTTATGAATTTGGACAAGGAGTAGTGAAAACTGACTGGGATCATTGTGGCACTGAAGATGAGCATAAAGTAGTTAAGAACGAACTAAAATTTACATAACTTTAAAGGTCGATTACTCTTCAATCTGTAGAAATTTACTTGTAAAAGTGACTTTGTATACAATTATGAAAGATATGTAATGTAATGATTTATGTCAATGAAGATTATTCAAAATGATAGGCTCAATACATATAATGATACTATAGATATGTATAAAACGCTTATAACTCACGAAGACTTGAATTCCTTCCCTCAGATATTATAATCGTAGGATCTAGCTGAGATATTAGTTGAGTTGGTTCCTGAGATAATAAGACCGTGTCCTGAGATGATATATTATGAGGGTTAGCTAAAAAGAAGGAAATATTGATGAACAGAAGGAAACACTTAGAAGACGAGGTGAATACAGCTAAAGTGACAAAAGTTAACTTATTTTTTGTGGAATAGTTCAAGAGTTTTCCGGAAAGGAAAAAGAACATTATTTCTAGGTTATGCTACAAAGAAAATAGTTCTGTTTATCTCCTAATCTAACTGCACCTATAGCTCTCCTAGGGTTACTACTGGTCCCAAGCCCAGATAAAGGAGGGTTAGGCATAGGGTCAGCAACCGCATCTCGTAGAAAAATACCTTACTAAATCACGATAACCTGAAAAAAACAATTTAAACTATTCAAACTCTGTCATGGGAGTTGAAGGGTCACCACGAAGCCGGTGCTCCTTCTGATGACTAAGGAGCAATTTATAAAGGCACGTGGAATATGAGAGACCGGGAGCACCAGTCAAATAGTTGCATGAATGAGAAGATACAACTTAGCGGTTCTCTCAATAAGTGAAACCCATTTAACCTAAGCTGAACAGAAAAGATAAACATTGGGAGAAGTGCTAATTCGTGTCAGATGTGAGTTAGTTACTCACCGCAAACAATGGAAGATGGTGGCACAATGCTGTGATTTGATTGAAGCTAGTAGTTAACATCGTCGGATGTCAACTCAGTGGTCTAGAGATCAAGGGTTCGCGCGCGAAATAGAAAGTCCTAGGTTAGATTCCAGAGTGCGGGATCACGGATGAGTTTCACACTCAGACGAAATGGGAGTTCAATGCTTCCAAGTTTTCAATGGTGGTTTAACTTACATCGGTTAGTGATTTCAGTGACATATATTAGATATTGTATAATAGATGAACTTACACGTCATTATATGATTGTCATCAGTGAACTCTTGAGTGATAGACTCTGATCTGGAAGCTACTAACAAAATAAAATACAAACCAATAATGGAACAGCTTTAACGCTTTAGTCCATAGTTAATATAAAGAAAGAACTTAAAAATAATTAAGCTCTATTAAACTCATTTTGGCGAGACTATAATTTATGGACGAACCAATCAGATATAAGATAGCAGATCTCGGATTGTGGCGCGAAATTCACTCATCCATTTGGCAAAATAAAGTTTTGGCATTATAGCTGGTGTCAGATCATGATGAAAACCCTAAATATAATTCCTAACCTTAACCGTTAACTGTAAATCACAACTCAAAGTCCTCACACAGGTTCATAGCCTTCATTTGGTCCTAGTTATTAGGTGGACACTATCAAGGTCAGTCCAGCGTCGCTCAAAGGTCGTCCATAAATTAGCCTCACCCTTATTTCAAATAAGAATTCTTTCAAATACTTTTATGCTAACCACTTAAAGCACAATGTTGGAATTTGAAGACAATAACATTTCTTTCTGTTTCAGGAAAAATGCTTCTCTGAAATTATGAAGACTAATAAATATGAGAACTAATGAATCGGTTATATCAATGAAAATTATTTTAATAAACTAACGATGATTAAAAATATAAATCTTGCAAGGCTTACGCAATTGACTGTTTGGTTTTTGAGAATACAGTAATTCATAAGGTGTATTATTCCATTGACTATGAGAAGATGAATTACGGGTAAATCGAGACTTGTTTTCGTCCTAATTAGGAAAAAAGAGCAAAGTTGACCTTCTGGATGAAGGAATGAATTTGAAAGAAATTTATCAACTTAAGTTAATCAGACATAACATTTACTAGAGTCAGAGTAGGTTAGTTTAAAACCTGTGCGAGTATGTTACTGAAAGAGACATGTTTTCGCTTGATATCAGATAAATTCTATTAAATAATGATAAAAAGCATAAAGTTTCGTTCATTCGAAACTTTCAGATTCAGTAAAATACGTAAAGATAAGTATTATTACCAAAATTCGACTTCATAATTTCAAATTCACAAATATATCATAATCTTATCAATAGACAGGTAGATGATTAGTGCATTGGGTTATGATGTTACAGAACATTGGTAATACCAATCACTAGTTGTACCACGCAGCTTTCATTTTTCAACTACAAAAGTAAAATAATCCTTTGTAGATTAATGCTGACTAGTAATTTAAATGACTAGTTTCACTAAAACAATTTTTTACTTATGATACAGGAAAAGACTTAAGGATTTATTTTCAGTTTAGAAAAATAATGTTACATAATTAGTTAAGTCAGGTTTAGTGTGAAACAAGAGAAACACAAGATATACTTACACCGATGGTAGTTGCATCTAAACGAGTAGAGGCCAATATAGACTGAGGATTCATAGTTCCTGGCAAAAAAGTTAGAAAAAATTGCTAAGTAAACACCGAGCATACAATGAAATTAAAAAGTTGGAATTGTATCAACAGAGAAATTAATATATATATATATATATATATATATATATATATATATATATATAAAGCATTTCTAACATTTTTAAACTAATTTTTTCTTCTTCACCGTAAGAAAACATGTAGAATAATTCTCATGGTTTGAATGACGAACTGATCCTTAGCTAGACCACCACTGGAAGCTTGTATGCAGTGGAGATCGAACCCAGAACTCCTGGTCATATACACTAGTCGGTACCGGGTCAGTCGTCTAAGGTTCAGGGATTTGCGTGCGAGACAGAGGGTCCCACGTTTGATTCTTGGATGGAGGACAGTGGACGCGTACTGCTGAGGAGTTCAGTACTGGGACGAAATTCTCATCCAGTGCTTCCAGCTAAGACCAGTTTTGATTCAAAAAATGAGAGTTCCACAACCTCCACAAATCTCCTTATAGTAATGTAAAAAAAAACACAAATATTTTGATCACCTGAAATGTTTATAAGGTCTAAGAGATAAAATTTAGAAAATAATACTACTCAACTTTTTACCATAAATGTGAATTTCAAACTACATTACGGTCAACAATAGATACAATAAATGTATGCTTTCTAATACACCCTTTGATTAATTAGAACTGACAAACAATAGATTGCGAAAAAGTTGGATATCTATCCACCAACAAAAGAATAAAACTGAATTAACTTTACACAAAATTAGTCGCCAATCGGTAGATAGGGTAGTGGATCTTTGTCGACTAAGATGGTTATGATATATGCTAAACATGCCTAACCACCACCTACATTAATACGCAACATTTCCTGGTGTAGAATAGGTTAGAGTAAAGTTAAAGGCAATCAAACCAAGAAACGTGGCATCGGTTTACGAATTTATTGACTGTTGAACTGAAAATAATACATATTGAGTAAACGATTAGTAGAGATAATCTATAAGAAAGACAAAATGATTATTAATTACTTACTGTCTAGAATACTAGAACATTCAGATGCGAAAAGGTCTATATCAGCAGGACCTAGAGTTCCATGATGTCTTTGTGGAAGACTTAAACTGTAACCATTATTGCAAGCTACAATAAACAAGTGACGATGAACAAAAATTAGATGAATTAAGGAAATAATGAAAATTGGATGAACTGTATTAAAACTAGAAAGAATATTCTGGAAGTTAAAATGCACATTACTTCTGATAATAAAAGCAAAAACAGTTAATTGTTGAACAATTACGATACATTATACAAACTTAGTAACACTAAACAAACTGAATGAAAAGAGAAAAAGGACTATACTTAAGCTAATAATTTTTTGGAATGAAACGGTTACCAATGCGTTTTAAAGTATCATTATCACGGTTAAACTTGATAATTTTAAATAAACTGAGTATTGGGGAGAATGTTGATAATAAAATAATGATATTCCAATGATTAGAAATTATAATTTCTGAAGTTTCGTGACTAATCGTAAGCCACTTTTTAGAGTAAATAAATAACTGAATTAAATTAATATAAGTTTAAAACATTATCTAATGGAGTGTAGATATTATAAATGTAATTACTACAGACAATTACGAAAGTGTGTGCTGAAATTATTTTATTATTGAGATTTATTTAAAGACAAACAAGGACAATTGGTTCGTGAAGGTTTACAGATATTTACTTTCCATTAAGTACGGAACTAGAAGTATGGCATTTCAAGTAAAGCTGAACGGACCATATGCTGTCTTAAAGGCATACTGTAAGAAAGATATAAGTTTGGTGTTTTATTAGAAATAAATGAAATTTTGATCTAGTCCGCATGTTACTCTCACTCTGGCGACTTACGTAGTCGTAATTACTTCGATTTTGCCCGTTTAAGCTTCTTTCGTAGTCTTGCTGTCCTACATAAACAGCAAAAGTTGAAGTGAACAACAGAGCATAAGATAATAGTCGGTTTAGAGAATTGATCGAAGTTCAGAATGGTTTATAACTCCAACGTTGTTTATGTACTCTAATAAAAACAATCCAAATTGCTATAACTGCTCTAGGTAAAGCAAGCTACAAACAGAGTAATGACTGTTGATGAGATGAGACATGATTTCACACATACGGTGTTGAGTAATAAAGTTGTTCTAATCAGACATAATAATTTTACCACAACCGAATCTACAGAGACCTAATAACAGAATAGAGGATTAGAATATTACACAGAACAATTTAAAGACTAAGTTGATCGTTAACAACTTTACAAAATATCTATAAAATCATCTACATGATTTTAACATACCGAATGATTAACTGTAAGTGAGAATAAGTCAGATATGCTAGAGATAACTCACCGTGGAATAATTAAGCCTAAAGGTAAAGATGAGATCTTTAAGACTGTGAAAAAATAAACCATAAAGATAACCCAAAGCACTATAAAACATTTAAAAGACATACATGAAAATAGTTTAAACCCTGCGCTTTCCTGTGGTAGATCTGTGAAATCATCCAACTGCAGATGCTGTTTCTGAGGGGTGTGAGACCTGACAATCTAAATATTAGTGAACAAGGAGAAAGAATAGAGAAAACACTTCAAATAAATTATAAAGGAAGTAACTGAATTCGACTATCTTCAATAGTACTACTTTTTTTCCATTATCAGTAACGGGTTTTTAGTACAAGAGAAAAAAAGTATCGACTTTATTTATAAGTTCATTCTTTTCTCAATAGGATGGTTGACTGAACAAGTCGTAAATAAACCATAAATTTTAAACGAAAGTAATACGAATTGGCTGGAGTTACAAATGTGAACTATTGAATCCCAATTCAGTGGTTTAAAGGTTGAGTGCCTATTGTACGACCTGTAAGCCCTGTGTGTTCGATCGACGGTGAGGTTGTGCATGAGGACTGTTGAAGGATTTCATATTAGGACGAAACAGCCAACCGGTGCTTCCTGTTCTTTAATGGTTGTCTAACGCAACTCATTCTGTAGTGCGGGAGAACAAAATAACTAAGTTGAGGATAAATTTTCGAAGACAGTCTTTAAAAAACTAACAAACGAAGAAATTAATGATAAGCCAGTGTTAAGTAGTCTAAGTATGAAAAATAGTAGCTTAACAACGTAAGCAGAGTTCGAACTGGTTTCCTGTTAGTTGGCAAACAAACATTCACATTCTTTAACAAAAGTTCCAAAGGACTCGAGAAATACTACGTTGTTAGTGCAGTCTGCACATATATACCATTTACATAAATCAGTTGTCTAATGATAATCAACGATATCTACTTGTGCTAAATACTGATTAAATTATTATTGTCTTCAATCACTCAATACTGAATACAGTCCACGACTGTATCAAATTAACTTACAAATATAATTATCATTACAAAATGTTACTATTTTTGACTTGACATGTAGAGAAATAAGGGTTCTGAAAAAATCTAAGTAATCTCGCTTTAAAATAAAAACAGTGGCAGAGAACCACAAGTAACGTTAGCTTCCCAAAGGTCAAAGATGTTTTATATAAGTAACTCCTAACTGAAAATTGATTGGCACTAATGATTCATATATTATGTATACCACTTTAATGCACTCAGTATGCAAAAACATGACCCATAACAATAGATTTGTATTTCAGGAGAGTTAAATCCTCTGAGTGAAAACCTATCATTTTTGTACTAGAAATAATCTTCAGTAATTAACATGAAGCAAGTGAATGCAAATGAATGACATAACTAAAGCACTTCTGTCATATTTTGGCCTCTGATGTATAACGCTAATAGTCATAATCAAATCGAGAATTGAAATTTCCAAGCAGTATAATGCTCACAACAATTCAGGTAAAGACACACGAAATCTAACGCGTAGTCAGAATCTAAGTAGGTGCTCACAAAAGAGTGCGAATGTTTCTTCCACTCAAATTACCAAGAAATATAACTACATTAATAAGTTTCGGACAGGTTTGGACTAACGGCAATAATTTGCGGATGAGAGAAATTCAACAATGCACTAATTCATTTACGCAAATAAAGCTTAAGTTTCAAAGTTGTGCGTAAAACGACTTTCTTAAAATTAGATACTCAAAGAGTATTTTCTAGCATTATTTTTCCTAACTCTAACAAATATTTTTTAATAGTTGAGATCATGAGTCAATTGGTGCTAGACCGCCAAGGAAAACCTAGAAGCACTGGAAATATTTTTTAATTTAGTACAAAGTAGTAAATGTTTAAGTAGGATTATAAATTTGTGAGTAATAGCGGGAGAACTTGAAATATATGGAGTAAAACATAAATGCAATAGCAGTATATATTCATGTTTGACATCAACAATACTTTAGAGGAATATCAGACTAAACCAAATAAATGATTTAGGTAGCCAAAATTTGAATTAAATGATAAGAATAGGTGAATTCATTCGGGGGACGTTGATGATAAGCATCATAGCACACATAAAAATAAACTGATCTACATTACTAAACAGGTAACTACTAGATCACATAAAACAAGGTTAAGGTCCTAACTAAATAAATGATTTATGAAAAACTGATTCACAAACAAGACGATTTACTTTTTTTCCAAAATCTATGTTTAGATTATTGACACTAATAGTTTTACTGCAAGATTTGTTTTGTTTTACATCCGCAGAATCTTTACATGTTAGAGCCTCTTCATCTTCAAGATCATTGGCCTCTGAAAATACTTCGTCATTTTCACTTTCTTCTGCTTCATCATCAGCAAAGAGACAAGGACGCTGTCTTGAAGCCTTTTTACTACCGACCACTACATTGTCATCTTCCTCATCGTCGTCAAGTGACTCACTTCCTCCTTCTTCTTCTTCTTCTTCTTCGCTTTCACCATCACTACTACTTTCTTCCTCGGTAGTTGAGTTTCCATCGGATATTTCACTGTCATTTGCATCTCCTTCTGACCATTCTTCGTCACTATTGGATACTTCCTATAAAAACGTAATATATTATGAACAATTATACAGTAGTAAGAAAACCAACTAATTCCTTATTGACTAGATAATTACTCTGAAATTTTTTTAGTTCGATAAGAATATATTGTAAACAGAGAAATTAGATAAAAACATATCTGACGACAAAAAAACAAAATAAATATTGAAATATGATGTAATAATACAATAGTCGAATACAATTATTTTTTAGTAATGCCACCATTTGTGATGTCTTTGCATTAATCAACACAATCGCTAGAATAAAAGTTATTGAGGAAGCACAATGGATGTCTTAATAAAGAAATTAAAATAGTTCAGGCAATAAAAGTATTCATTAAAGATGACTGACTACTTTTGAACTAAATACTCTTATCTGATGAAGATCTTATTTTCGACACATTTATTAGAAAAAAAATTGTGATAAGATTATTGTTTATGAGTACTTTTGTATGAACAATTTCTATTGATTTCTATTTGATTATACAAAGTCAGTAATGAGCAAGTTAATGAACTATTTTCTTTTACAATAATTCTGCTTATCTGACCGTAACTTTTGTGTTTATGTAAGATTATAATTTGTCAGTATGAAATAAATAACCATCCATTTTCATTTATCAGTTTAGATTGAATGTAATGCAGTGGAAAGCTTCAAAGGTAACTTTTGTATTGTTAAAGATATGTGTACAAAGACTCCACTGTTATCGGATGATTTCATTGAAATCAACTTTCTTAGTTACAAGAAGTAACACCTTACATTTGGGACAGTAGTTCGAGTACGCGTATTTTAGTATCAAATGCATACTATTAATTAATTAACCGCTGAATAATAGTCGGAAGACCTCATGCAAATTAGTGACTTATATGCAGACGTGGATAGTGGCTAGCAATGAAATCGAGGATGAGCGTTTAATCCTAGTTGGGATTCGTCAGCTAGGTTTACCTGTGTACTACAGAATTCAAACCCAGTACCGTTTGTTTTAAACGCCATCGTGTTATCTACCTAACTATTGAGTACAGATAGCCAACGGCTTGTGCAATGGGGTAAAGTTTAATTCATTTGTATTGATTTTTTGAATCTTCCCACAGAAGCGGGTACATCTAACTAACGGATTCAAAAAGGAAAAAATGCAGGTTCTGGATTCTACTTCTAACCACCATACACTTCCGCTTATAATAGTTGTGACTTGATGGCAATATCGAGACAATCCGCACAGGATCCAAATATGACAAAAGGAGGCTGATCAATTGCAGTCCTTAACATCAATGACAGGATTCAAACAACTTACACAAATGAATTAACAACTTACATTTCTGGAAAATTTCAAAATTGGTAACAGTATTTAACTCATAAACAAAAAGGACCAAATTAATCTACGACCAAATAGTTTGAGTTCCAGAGTAGATAACTTAATGGTGGCGTCTCTTGACTGTGAAGCTGGGTAGCACAAGGTCGAATCCCAAATAAAAATCAGTTCGTGTAGTATCGTAGGTATACTTTACTGATGAGTGCTAAATAGTACGAAATCTAGGTCGACTACTTCCCAACCACCATCTTACAACTTAAGATATTCAACAATTAAAACATTAAAAAAGAATATAATAAACGCAATACAAATAACATTACAATCCAAATACTACAACGAACCCCAGCATTTTCATTTGTTGACTTTGGACATGTACCCTCTTCCTTTAACCGCATTTCATACTGCTCTAGCCTTTTTTGACGCATTTTTTCTTCGAGAACTTTTCTGTGTTCCAACCAATGTTTTCTACTAACTGACATAGTTGTTGATAATCCTTTGGATGGTTCATGTGTAACTGTTTCTACCTGTAGTTCTTCACGTTCAGCGTCAGTGCTTTGTACCTTAATATGAATAAAATTATAAAACCAATAGACATGCTGAATTTGGAAAGAAGAGAATGTAAATGCTCATGGAACAAAAGTCAACATATTGTTATACAAAAAAGATTGATTGAACGAATAAACACTGCATATATTTTATATCTGTTCAATCCATGAGTTTAACTACACAATAGAGAATAGTTCAAAAAAGTTATGTATCTCCAGTTCTTACACTCTTCAACAAGTACATAGAAAATACAGACATAAAGATCAAAGAACTTGCAATGAACGAGATTGAAGAGGATTATCGTGTAGTGATGTTAAAATATGCAGCTTTTGGAGCAAAACCCAGGGTGAATATCTCTGAGTTAATGAAGATAATAGGAATAATAACAACAAAACACCTTGAAATACGCCTGCGAACAATTATACTTAGTTATATTGATATTAATACATGAGGACAAAGTTTAGATGGAAAATTCTTACACGGATTCTACTTATACTAAAAACATTTTGAGTCCAGGTCATGATGAGTGGAATTTCAGTGTTACCTATCTCCAAAAAAGTAAAACAGTTCGCCGACCAAAGAACATCTGACCGAATGTGGTATTAAATTGGGAAGTACTATTATTATGAATTTAGGGTAATTTGAGTATAACCAGTATTACACCATACACAGGACTATAAGATTAACTATATGAGTCGTACATTACTAGTGGCTCACCGCCAGGGCTTTATGATACAATTTTATACAGACCGATGCATTTTTCTGGTAATTTTCTACGGAGTAGCTTAATAAACTCGTTCGATGTTAATTAGATCAGTATCAACGGATATCCCAATTATTTGTTACTATATTTTTGTTAACCGTTTTGACTGTATTGCACTACAGTAATCCCACAAGAAATTAGTAGTACAAGTGAAAAAAAATCAGTTTGGGTTAGGACTCCTTAAAAATAATCACACGTAGTACATTCAGAAATAGAACTCAAAACCATACAACAACCATGATATTACTGAAACACTGAAAATTGGTATTTTTTACGTTTAATTAATTGATCAGATATATTAATCGTTTCTTTATTTGGGAGTAACCATCCTGACGGACTGAACTATTTTGGTTTGATAGAATTCACTGAACGTTGCTTCGTTCATAAACCACTACTTGATATAGACAAGCGCGTAGTTTGCTTTTGAGAGCGTAAAGACTGGAGGGATTTAAAATTAGGACTACAGTGATGCACAGAATTTGGGAATAGTAAAAGAAATCTTATAGTGATATGTCCTCATACAAATACATGGGACATACCTTTGTTATGATTGAATATTGGATGGGTCCACGTACAACTTTTTCATGAGACACGTGAAGATGAGATTTTAAACGAGCTAATAATTGACTAGGAGTTACAGATGACATTGAAGTAGGGATTGATTCACCTTGAAAAAGTCAGTGTACAACAAACAATGAAGAAAGAAGTTATTTATGATGATATAAAAGTTGACAAGATCATTCGCAGAAAATGAGGTGAGATAAAAGAAAGCTTGGGTATGAATAAGCTTTAAAGCAGTATGAACTGTTATAGAACTATCTAATGGACACATATTGTAGAGAGTAACCTATATATGAACTTTCTAAACCAACTTTATAAAGTTTCATCGAAGTAAGGTCCACTCACCTTTACATGTATACTTTGAGAGGTACTTCAAAATATTCTAATAATTATGATCTAGAAGAACACGTGAGAACTAGGCTTTAACAATAGACATAATGATGGTAGATAAATAACTGGATGGAAATAAATTAAAGAGTACAAAACTGACACTAGGTAAAATCGAAAAGAGAACATCTATTCCTACCTAAATCTATGAAAAATTCTTCACTTCCATCATTTTTCAATTTCCTCGCAGCAAGGCGAGGTAACAGGCTGGTTATTACATCTGGTTCGCTTGTAACATCGAGTGATGGTTTGGCATCAGATGACATTGATGGTGGTTCCAAAGTGGTGCAATCAATGTCGACAGGATAGTCGGCTGAACAACATTGTGAGACGAATGGTTTCGTATCCATTTTACTTTCAGTCTCTTCATTTTGGATAGATTGTCCTGGAATTGGTGGAAGATGAGAGTTACAATCGGAAAGTAATCTGAAATAAATAAAACAAAGCACAATATTCATATTTTGCGCCGTTTTGTAAGAATCGTATTCTATCTAATAATATGATCGGAGTTTTTTTCTAGAATTAAGTTACACCGTAGTTGATACTCATCATGATTAATAGACCGATGATATCACCAAGCCCATGAAGAAAAACATGACTAAATATCGAAGACGTGTAAATTTGTTTCTTCCTATGGTTAAAGCAACTGAAGGTTACTTATTTCGGGTTCGAAGAACAGTAAGAAAGTGTCATCAGGGCGTTCAGTAAGACTGATCAAAAGTTAGATAGTTTATATATATGTATTCGAAAATTTGAGGTCATAATTCTAAACCTTTTATTTATAATTGCTTTATTTAATAGTGTTTATTACACTAACGGATTTTCGCCAGAAGATATTGTGACAAGACTCATTTAATCTGCGTTTACAACGTTCATATATATGATTTTAAAGTTACTTTTAATGTTTTGTTCTTACTATCTCTTTCCTCTACATAAATTAATTTTAAACATGGCAACTTAAACGAAGAAACCAATTTAAGATTCTACATTACTCAAGTCAATAATAACCTGTCAAAAAGAAACATATTTAGAGAGATACTTTATTGAGAAACATGAGTGATTAGAGATCAGCCACGATTTGACCATGCAAAGTCTAAGTATATTTTGTTCAAGATGGCATCGAAACAAGTAGGGAGTACCGTAAACCAACTCATTCATTTAGCATATAGTCTTCATTCAATATAACACTAGGTTAAACAGTCATGCAATGTACCATCACTCGGAATAAAACCGAATACCAGAAACTGACAAAAACATTATAAGAATATATGTAGGATATGTTGTTTGATCAACGTAACTATTTACCTCTATAGTTTCAAATTATTTTTGTATCAACTTGGTATAGACAGACAGAATCAACGCTCCCCTCTACGTTCATGTACGAGCAACACATACAACTGCTGGACGACTGAATCAACAGTCTGAACATTACTTAGTAATTTATTGAGCCATAGTTGGATATCACCAACAAATATGTGAAATTATTTCAGATGTTCGTTAAGCTTTTAGAACTGTTATACCCAGGCTAGAGAGGTTCAATTTCTTAACATGATGTAGGGGATTGACATTCATCATGTCCAAGTACGGAAATTATGAAAAAGAGCTCTAGTGTGAATAAGTGTCGCATTATGTCAATCATTAGGTGTTAGTGGGATAGAATTTTGACGATAACCAATCCACTGTTAACTAATAAGCGCTAGGGGAAGAATAAAAAACTATAAGTTTCCCATATAAATTCCGTACAGGCATGTTTTTCTGTGTTGTTGTCCCAGTTTAGTGGAATATATTTTATATTTAATTCTTTCTACTCTGGTCACAATCATCAACAAATCTCCCACTACGAAATAGGACTTTTTACTCTAGTTAGCTGAGCAGGAAAGAAAAGGATAGAAGTGGTCTCGTTCATCGTACTGAAATTGGAGTTACAAAATATTAGTTTAGTGCCCGAACATATCAGTAACAATAAGTTTTACATTAAACACCAAATATTTGTTCATAAGACAATAAAGATAACTCAATAAATTCAGCACATGCAAACACTCCAATATAAAAGACTTACTTATTCTGAGATGAGGTTTCACAACTTTCGGTTTCATTTGACTTGCAACCTTTTAGAGACTGACGAAACTCACTGAAACATTTAAATTGTTTAGGTCTGTGGACTGGTAAATGTACATCAGCTTCTACAACGTAAACAAACAAAAGTAACTAAGATGTCTAACCGACCTCGTACAAGTCGTTGTGATTCACTATGGATTTGAAGTCTTTCTTCTTCTATGTTAGTTGGTTTAGAATGACTTATATTGCGCCTGCCAGATTTACTTTTAGATACCTTTTTAGCTGCACCCTAAAAAATTACAATTGCTTCTAAGAATACTTACAGAGCTGAGTGTCCAGCGACCAACTTTTTCTTTTGGTTCTTCAATATCATCTTTAATAGTCCATAACTCATTATTTTCATCAAATGAATGTATTTGATTTGAAGGTGGAGAATCAACATTGTTATCACACTCATCACTTAATTCACTGTCGACAAGATCAAGTGGTAAGATCTGGGAAATGAATAAGGTAGATAAATAAATTGCAGGAATAAAATTAACTACAAAGAATATGATTTTATGCCTAACAATACAAGCTCTAAGTCCATCCAGTTGTTTATAACCAATGCAGAGTCTCAAACAGACACGTGCTGTCCCAACTTTAAATTTCTTCCTCATCGTAGTTAGATGGGATTAACAAGACGACATATACTAGCTATGATATCACGACCATTTGGCTTTTAAGTTTTATTAAGGGGAAAAGAGGACTTATATACGTAAAATGGTAAGTATGAAAGTTTATTAACGTAGGAGACAATTTCATATGAACATTAAAAGGACAAAACACCTTTATATAACAGATCAGACCCTTGCTGGGCATCAAATATCTAACTTCTGCTTCTCACTACATAATTTAAATTTTAAACTATCTAGGTTAGATATTCCAGAAGAAATCTCTGGGTAATCAACTGGTGCAGTAGTGCTTCCAGGACCACAACCACAATAAGTTGATTGCCGTAACGTAGAACCTAGTATATGCGGTAAGGTCAAGTATAAATAGTTGAAACGGATTTCTTTATCGATTAGCCTCAGGTTTATCCCTTTTAGATGAAATCATGCCAAAAACTCTAAGCCAACCAAATATACAGGCTTAGATATATTAGTGTTAAACACTTGCTAGGTTCGTATTTCAGTCACACAAATCGCCACCACCACAAGACTCAAAAAGAGTCAGATAGAATATTCAATCGCTGGACTATGACCAGAAGCGAGAACTTGGTGAGCGAGAAAAAGAACTGACTGACATGTGCTCTGGTAGGAAGAATCTTTCTTCCTTCTCGAAATAATCATATAAGGTTAGATATTTACAACCTCCAGGGACTTCCTACTTACTGTACTAATATGAAAACGGGGGCGCCTGGAGGCCATGTAACTCAGTGGATTTACACATTAAATATAATTCGAAATAGAAGTTAGCGGCCTTTGTCATTTCACATAAAAATAAGGACTCCCTTATCTGAGTCGTTTTTTTTGGTTGTATTTTTAAATGAAATTAATCTCCAATGATGTTATTGTTCACTTTTCGGTTGTAATCCCTGCTTCATTTCTTTACGACGTTATCTTTATTTTGAGTGTAGTATACGTTTTTAGCAACCAGTTGTACCAGAATTTGTGTATAAAATAAAATAAAAATTATTACCTGAGATACTTGCATATAAACAAACCCCGGATAAAGTACAAATAGTAGTAGTAAAATATATTTCTGCTTACATACCGACTTCTTTACATTGCTTTCAGGAACTACTTCTTTTACATTTAAAGCCTCTATGGACGATAAATTTCCCCCAGTAGACGAAAGAGAATCGAGCATTTGTTCAACCTTATGATACAGCAAAGAAGAGTGATTAGAAGTTACATATTTATGTATACTTAATGAGTCCGAGTTCATTCTTTGGAAAGACGGGACATATAATTGAAATTACGGACTAAGCTTCCAAAACGGCGTGAAAATAAAAGTTTCCTACTTGAAGACACTATGCTTTACAAGGCTCCTGGCAAGTTCCTGACATCTATCGATTTAACATGGTGTATTTCAGAAAGCGTTCGTTTTTTAGACGTCAAATTTTACAAACCTAGTACAGAAACCACGAAACCTGAAGATCAAAACTCTTTTTCAAAGTAAAAACGACCTTAAGAGTTTTTCCATCCGGGCACTAACAGGAACAAATTAAAAAAGGTGAGTCTATTAGTGACTTCCTGAAAACCCTGATCAAAATGTTCCACAGCATGTATAAAAATGTGAACTTACACAAAAATATATTAGTCCAAGTGGCAGGACTTAGTAACGTCATGGAGAATTAAACAGCAAAAGCAAATTCTAATTCTCTATATATCAGACTAGGGCCGATTCAAGGGTGGTCGTTAGTATTGTTAGAAGTTGGGTAAAGTGACAAATTTGTATATGCCTATTAACGCTCCTGATAATCGAATATTCGTTGCCTAATTTGCAGTCAGGGAAGTGACGAAGAATGAGGTAAGGTAATATACGGATGATGTGAGGAAATATTATTATTTCTTATTATTTTATTTAAACAAACATTGTTAGAAGGAGGCACCAAATAGATATGCGCCACATAAGTCATTCGATTTCTGTGATGGCTGGGGTACTACTTAGGTTCCCAAACCGGAGCAGGTGGTTTTTTAAAGGGCCACACCCCGAGCCATTGACCGGAAGGTCTGATCCACAGGGCAGTGGAACAACGTCCTCTCAATTTGGGAAACAGAAGATGAAGGTTATAGAGCCAGTGATTGTGGTGTTCACAAAGTCTGAAGTTTTCAACATTATGAATTGGTATCACACCATTGTTTAGCTACCACCGACTCTCTTCATACTATGTGGATCATTACGAAGAAGCAATCACTCGGGTGGCTTGTGACATTACTAATCTTGAAACTGTAGGGCCTGAGATAAGCAGAACAGATTTTATGACCAATAGCATTTGTTTTTAAAGAGTTAACTACGTTACCTGGGTCCACTACCAGATTTATAAAACCTATTGGTAGGTACAAAGTATCAATACAGTGTTTGGACAATAGCACATTCAAAAGTCTTGGGTAGAACCATAATTTATGGACTACCTTTGAGTGAACTTAGTTACCTTGAAAAAGTCCACCTACTAACTAGGACTAAATGAGGGTTGTAAACCAGTGTGAGGGATTAGAATTATGATTTACAATTGATGGTTAAGGTTAGGACCAGATTTAGGGTTTTCATCACGAACTGACATCAGCAATAATGCTAAGGCTCTATCTAGCCAAATGGATGAGTGAATCATGAGCCTAAATTCAACACTCGTTATTTTATACCTGATTGGTCATAAATTATAGTCTAGCCTGGAAAACTAGTATACAACCCCAGCATATACAAGAATAACCCAATCTCCCAATTTTGGGGGAAAATTTGACTCCTTTTGGGGGAAGCCACAGTAGCAAATTTTTGAGAAATGACACCGAAACCCCAAAATTCCCTCGGATTTGAGGGAACGTAACAATAATTTCACAAAATTTGACTTTGGGAATTTTCCCATATTTGGGAGGTTGGGAATACCAGCACGACATTATGATTTGGTGCAAGCTCATCCTAATAGTGACAATCAAATGCAGTGATCCTTGGAGCTGTTACGTCTCCCTTGATCCACGTTAAAATTGTTGTAATTAAGAATAAAAATGTACACAGATTTACCAGCTCTACACTATACTGTTAACATGAGCCTAAAAAGAGTCCCCAACGGTGATTAATGCATATTTTAGCAGATACTAACACTACTATAATGAATAGAGATGAATCAAGAAAGAAATATCATTATAGATACCAAGGTTTCTCTACCATTTGAACCACCCACCACCATAAAAGCCCGTACCGAGCGCTCTGGTTTGTTACGCTAATTTTCGATTCGGAGAAACAAAATAGTTTCAAATGAGTCTGGGCTAAAAGAAAGAAGCTTAAGCTTAACGGCACCTGGTATCTATTATTAGCAAATCGCGGATGCTTTCAGATAGGAAACTGCGTATGTTTCAAGATAAAAATTGATAAATATTTGTAAAAACCAATGAGATACTGTCCTTAGTCCTTAAGAATATGTTAGGTTTCCTTTTACAGGGCCCACAAGAAGTGTTTTGAACAAGATCAGTCAACAGGTAATTCTAGCATTTGCCTATAATCCGTTCTGTTATATTTGCTTCCAGTTTTTGGTTTTTTCCTTGAGGTTTCTGATGGCACTGGGCTTAAGTAAATATTTAAAGGGATATCCAGAAGTGTTTAAGATGCTGTAAATCATTAAAAGGTCAAATTTCTGATGTAAACTAAAATAGTTTGCTTAAAACACGGGAAGACATATAACTCGATACAAATTTAAAGCCTTCTAGGGAGAGCTGCAACAGCACAAGTTGAAGCAGAACTGGTTCTGTTACGCAGAAGCCGACTTCGACGAGCACGGCGTGATCGACACACGTGCACAATTCCTCGCAGTAGTCAAGGCACTACCGCGCAAATTCAACAGGTACGTAACACCTAGTATATTTACTAGTGATGTTTCCGAACCTTACGAAATCTTGAAACGTTCGATTCTTAAACGAGGAGACCTAACCGGTCGACAAAGGTTAGATCAACTCCTTAATAACACAGACCTGCAGCACGGTTCTGCGACGGACATGTTGCAAAGAGTGAGAGAGGTTATAGGCCCAAGAACTATCGACGAAGGTCTATTCAAACAACTCTTCTTGTCAAAACTTCCCCAACAGGTGCAAGCAGTTCTGGTCTCGTTTCAGAACAACTCCTTGGACGAACTGGCTGCATCTGCCGATCGTATTTTAGAAATTACTAAATCTTCTACAACAGAGGTTTTTCGGTCAAAGAAAAGCCTCGAGCGACTCAGAATGACATAACCGAGTTATGTCATACACTCAAGCGTTATCTTAATCTTCGTACCGAACGTAGTCGCTCGCGCACTCCACGCGCATCAGTTAACCGTATGCCATCAAGTGGCCCATGAGGTGGTGGTCTCACTATCTTCTCTGTACTCGTTCTTATTAATATATTTCTGTAACAACTTTGATTGTGTTATGCAGTCTTAAAAACAACCATAGTACCTTGAAACGACAAAGAGGTTGTCAACTTTAGGTGATGAACGTGTAGATCACCAGTGATTGGAGGCCTACTCAAGTCAGTCAGGTATAGTATGACGAACCAGCTAATGTCGAAGTCACACCTCGTGGTCAGCACCTTACCAAATAGCCATATCAAGGCGCTAAAAATCCTTTGAAGACTATACAACACAGAGGACCTTATTACAGAAACATATTGGTTAAAGTAGATACAAGCAAAAGTAAGACGACTGCCGCATGGGCCAGTCCATGGCATACAATTAACGCGTTGGTTGTCCTTGACCTTGACGAGAATCGATGATTTGTTCGATAATCAGTGACCCAACTGCAGGATGATTTGGCCAGTACTCAGTTGAATTTCACTGGCCCTGTAACTGCGAAGTGTTGCTTCGAAGTTAGCTTCTGATTAGACTGCAGCGTGGCGTGAAGTTGAGAATAACTATGAACACCGCTACCAAAAAACACGTGCCAAGTAAATCAGAAGGCGAAGGTTGAACGTAACCAAATAAATCCATAAAATCCCCGAGAAGCCAAATATCAGAAGGCAGTTAATGAACCAAGTCGAGATGAATTTGCTGGCGATCTCGTGGTATTGAAAGAATACCGAGATCGTACCAGGATACAAGCTTGGTTACAGAACGTAACCGAATTCGCGCGAGGTCACAATCAAAGTGTGTGAATAAGAATGGAAGCACAATATAGCTGTCATCAGCACAGTCAAACAAAAGCACATTAAAAAAAAACACTGGTACAGTTGGTTATAATAATAATTGTTTTTATTAAACCAGTCGTGTTCTCGTGATAAATGTGAGTCACTACAAAACAATGCCCGTCTAACTCGAGCAGGCCCCTAGTCATTCAACATAGATCATCTACGTTGGTGATGAGTCGTTTACTTGTCTTATTACTTCGGTCATGTCAAAAATATCCCCAATCACTCTGCACAAATGGCGATAACTGCTATTAAATAAATCACAGTCAGTTAACTCCAAAGGCTTCACATAATCAGTGAATAATTAAAACGTACAACTCATCCACATATTTAGATGTAAGCAGTCTTCATCTCGTGACACATATACGTGATCAATTTTAAATCTTTGACAAACTTCAGTGACCTAGTCACTTTTATCCAACTAGTAACTCTATTTTCCCCACAAAAGATTGTAACTCATAACACATACGCCTCTTATGTTCTCTTGTTTGCTTGTCTGCATGTTTGTGTGATTGACATTATATCCAGTTTTGCCTTGTTGTTGCACTGTTATTATGCACAATGATTGATTTTCGAACAGACTCACTCGCGTTATACACTGTCTGCCCAAATGGATGTAATAAAAGTAAACATCCAAAACAATTGTACTCGAAATTTTATATATCTGTGGTTGTTTACGGAATTTATAGACTGAAAGTAACGCCCAGGCATCTAACAAGGTCGATCGCATCTCCTACCAACGACACAGACCACTCTAGTCTTTGTGATGGACGCAACATTATGAATTTTGCCTCTGCATTCACTGTTCTGTTCTTCTTTCATCTTGAAGTGTACTAGAATTCAAGCACTCCTAAAGTTTCACTTGCCCAATTTTACATGCAAAATAACCTTACACAATAATTTAATATACTAATCCATGAACAACTCCGCCTGGAGTCCCTCCGTTGGCTACTGCCGGTCCCAAACCCGGACAAAGGAGGAGGAATGGGCATGGGGTTAGCGTCCCTATCCCATAGAAAACTAACTCGCTAAAAAACGCTAACCAGAAAAAATTATTCAAACCTTTTAAACTCTGCCCTGGGAGTCAGAAGGTCTTCGTTTATAAGAATTATGACGCCTCATGATGAAAGCTGAATTCCTTAGGAAGTTACGAGGCCGATGCCCCTTCTGACAACCAGAGCGATCATTTATTTAGGTACATGGAATGTTCGTACAATGTGGGACACCGGGAGAGCCTTCCAAATTACTGCAGAAATGAGAAGATACAACCTAGAGGTACCTGGGAGCAGTGAAACACATTGGACACAAGTTGGACAACAACGACTAACTACAGGAGAGTTCCTGTTATACTCCGGCCATGAAGAAGAAAATGCACCACATACACAAGGAGTTGCATCGATGCTGTCCAAACAAGCGCAAAATGCACTTATGGGATGGGAATCTCATGGACCAAGGATCATCAAAGCCTCCTTCAAAACAAAGAAAGAGGGCATTTCAATGAACATCATCTAATGCTATGAGCCTACCAACGACTACAATGAAGACGCTAAAGATCACTTCTACAATAGGCTGCAGTCAATAGTCGAGAAGTGCCCAACAAAGGACCTGACCATTCTGATGAGAGATTTCAACGCCAAGGTTGGAACGGACAACATTGGATATGAAGACATCATGGGACGACACGGACTGGGAGAAAGGAACGAAAATGGTGAGAGATTTGCAAATCTATGTGCCTTCAATAAGCTGGTCATAGGCGGCACCATATTCCCACATAAACGCATACACAAAACCACATGGACTTCACCGGATCACTCTACACAAAACCAAATCGACCATATTTGCATCAACAAAACGTTCGGGAGGACTATAGAGAACGTGAGAACCAAGAGAGGAGCTGATATAGCATCAGATCATCACTTGCTGGTCGCCAAGATGAAATTGAAACTCAAGAAGCACTGGACAACGGGGCGGACAATATCACAAAAGTTCAATACGGCCTTTTTTCAGGATACTAACAAACTCAACAAATTCAAGATAGTCCTCAGCAACAAGTTCCAGGCCTTTCATGATCTACTCAATGGAGAAGGAACTACTGTGGAGAGCAACTGGAAGGGGATCAAAGAGGCAATCACTTCAACATGTCTTGAGGTGCTGGGTCACAAGAAGCACCACCACAAGGAATGGATCACTGTTGATACACTGGATAAGATTCAAGAAAGAAGGAACAAGAAGGCAGCAATCAATACCAGCCGAACAAGAGCAGAAAAAGCCAAGGCACAAGCTGAATACACAGAAGTAAACAAACAAGTGAAGAGGAGCATCAGAACCGACAAACGTAAATATGTGGAAGATTTATCAACGACGGCCGAAAAAGCTGCAAGAGAAGGAAACATGAGACAATTGTATGACACGACAAAGAAACTCTCTGGACATCGCCGCAAACCAGAACGATCAGTGAAAAGCAAGGTAGGCAGGGTAATCACCCACATTGAAGAGCAACAAAACAGGTGGGTAAAACAATTCAAAGAACTCTTGAATCGACCAGCTCCACTGAACCCACCCAACATCGAAGCAGCACCCAGGGACCTCCCAATCAATGTTGGCCCACGAACAATTGAAGAAATCAGCATGGCCATCACACAAATCAAGAGTGGCAAAGCAGCAGGACCGGACAACATTCCAGCAGAGGCACTAAAAGCAGACGTAGCGGCAACTGCAAGGATACTCCACATTCTCTTCAATAAGATTTGGGATGAGGAACAAGTACCAAAAGACTGGAAAGAAGGACTCCTGATCAAAATACCGAAGAAAGGCGATCTCAGCAAGTGTGATAACTACAGGGGCATCACTCCTCTCTCAATACCGGGAAAAATCTTCAACATGGTATTGTTAAACAGGATGAAGGACTGCGTAGACGCCCAACTTCGTGACCAACAGGCAGGATTCCGTAAGGATAGATCGTGTACAGACCAAATCGCAACTCTACGGATCATTGTGGAACAATCAATGAAATGGAATTCATCACTCTACATCAACTTCATTGACTACGAAAAGGCATTTGATAGCGTGGATAGGACAACACTATGGAAACTTCTTCGACACTGCGGCGTGCCTCGGAAGATAGTCAATATCATACAGAGTTCATATGATGGATTACACTGCAAAATTGTGCATGGAGGACAGTTGACAAAGTCGTTCGAAGTGAAGACCGGTGTCAGGCAAGGTTGCTTACTCTCACCCTTTCTCTTGCTCCTGGTGATCGACTGAATCATGAAGACGTCAACAACTGAAGGGAAGCGCGGGATACAATAGACATCTAAGATGCAGCTGGACGATCTAGACTTCGCAGATGATCTGGCCCTTTTATCCCAAACGCCACAGCAAATGCAGGAGAAGACGAACAGTGTGGCAGCATCCTCAGCAGCAATAGGTCTCAATATACACAAAGGGAAAAGCAGGATTCTCCGATACAACACAGCATGCACCAATCCAATCACAATCGACGGAGAAGATTTGGAAGATGTAAAAACCTTTACATATTTGGGCAGCATCATCGATGAACAGGGTGGATCTGATACAGATGTGAAGGCGCGGATCGGCAAAGCAAGAGCAGCATATTAACAACTGAGGAACATCTGGAACTCAAAGGAACTGTCAACTAATACCAAGGTCAGGATTTTCAATACAAATGTCAAGACAGTTCTACTGTAAGGGGCGGAAACTTGGAGAACTACGAAAGCCATCATCCAGAAAATACAGGTGTTTATTAATAGTTGTCTACGCAAAATACTTCGGATCCATTGGTGAGACACTACTAACAACAACGTACTGTGTGAGAGAACAAACCAGATCCCAGTGTAGGAAGAAATCAGGAAGAAGAGCTGGAAGTGGATAGGACACACATTGAGGAAAGCACACAACTGCGTCACAAGACAAGCCCTCACATGGAATCCTGAAGGTCAAAGGAAAAGAGGAGGACCAAAGAACACATTACGCCGAGAAATGGAGATAGACATGAGAAAAATGAACAAGAATTGGATGGAACTAGAAAAGAAGGCCCAGGTCAGAGTGGTTTGGAGAATGCTGGTCAGCGGCCTATGCTCCATTGGGAGTAACAGGCGTAAGTATGTAAGTAAGTAATCCATGAACACTAATCACTTGTTTTGAAGCTTGCTCAAAATTTTCCCTATAAGTTGTCTGGATAGGCAAAATACTTCAATTTGATTACTAATTTAATAATATTACAAGTACAGGATAAGTAATCACGTATATACTTTTAGTGGCCTGATATCTGAATTCAGTTACATTGTAGGATGATTGTTATCGAAGTATATATACCGTCAATCCTCGTATACTTTTATCGACTTCATTCGCGTTGGAGAATAACGGAATAAAATAAGTCAAATCAGATAATGAATTTTAAGTACGTATGTTTCGTACAGTCATTGATCTAAGTGGGCAATCAGGGAAACAGAGCAAAGGGAGTGAGACGAAACGAAGTAGCGCTCAGTGGAGAAGCAGAGTGATCCAACGCTTTTTGATCAAGCGTGACTAAATATTTACAGTCCGATAAAAATAAGTCACAGATACATAATGAAAAGGGTAGCTTTTTATAGCCTATCATCGACTGAACATTAGAAGAGGCTGGAAAAAGGCAGGAATATAAAGAAACTCTGAATAAAATCAATATCAGATTAGAGGTTGAAGGCGATTGTATTGTCTGTAAGTATCTGAATTCAACACGTTAACTATGATTATTTAAAGCTGATCAATTGATACTCTAATAGTCTGTAGTGTGGCGTCGTGTCTAAATTGACTATGAACACCACTACAAAGGAACGCGTGCCAGGATATCCATTAAATTCCCTTGGAAGCCAAATATCAGAAGGCAGTTAATGGACCAAGTCGAGATATATTTGCTGGCGATCTCGTGGTATCGAAAGAATACCGAGATCGTACCAGAATACAAGCTTGGTTACTGAGCCTAACCGGATTCGCGTGAGGTCACAATCGAAGTGAGCATAATGGATGTTTTTAGCACAGTTAAACAAAAATCACATTAAAACAGTCACTGGTACAATTGGTTATAATAATAATTGTTTTCATTAAACCAGTCGTGTTCTCGTGATAAAAGTAAGTCACTACAAGTCACGTATGGCCAGGTATTCAAGTCAGGAAGAACTCGGTGAGCACAATCAAAGATAATGTCTTTGGAATTTAAATAAGCTACGGAATAATGCACAAAAGAATCGTTACTGTATAAAAACGTAACAGCAAGTAATTGACTTTACGATTACAAGATGGCTAATTAAGTATACAATTTCAAGATTTCTGTCCAATATTTGACTGTACACCTGCCTTTAGCAATATTCTAGGATAATCTGTTTCAGTTTTTATGTAGAAAAATCATTTTTTAACATTTTATTCACTCTCTTTTAGTACGGAATTACAATTATAAATTACTCCAATTAAAACTGTACTAGATCCCTGTTTGGGTTTGTATATTTTCTTAGACTTATCCTGACGTATAACTTAATTCCTTTAATAACGTGATATAAAAAACCTTCTACTCATCGTTTTAGAAATAGATGCTTATTTTATAAAAAACATATACAGCGAACCACATGTGTATAATATTTTACATGAAAAATGACTGAACTAAATCTACATCTTGATACACATCTTAATCAGGTCGTATAAATTGTACATAAATTACTGAATACATTAGTTATCGAACAATATAAAGTGGTAAAATGAAATAAGAGGAAATAGGAATCACTTTTAAAAATTTGGAAATATAATGTAATTGACTAAATTATTTGAACCTTTTCACGTACAAGCTTTTTGAGTCTTAGCATTATGTATGTCACTGAAGTTTAGAAATTCGTAGATTTATATATCAGCTCCCAGTAACCCTTCGAATGTCTTCTAAACCAATCCTTAGTTCTTTGGACATCAAAGTGTTATAATTAACGTAAATGTTTTCATCAATACTTTGAATAGTTGTAAATGGACTTTCATTTCGATCTAGAGAGTTAAAATTACCATCATTCTGTTTTGCTGTGTTTGTTGTATAAGGGACTTCGTAAAGATTTTCGATTTTACGTGTATCCATCTGTGAATTTGCGTTATCACCAAATGTACTCAATTTAACAAGGGAATGATTACTTTCTGGAATATCAAATATCTTTTCATGTTTCATGTAAACTCGTGTATTTTCATGACTGTCATTATCACTGATAGTACTATTATAGGGGAAATTTGATAGATATGTAATTGCTGGATGTTGTGGAATATTTGGATGTCTAAAGTAAAAGAAATTACAGATTAGATAATATTTGTTGAAGAATATCAAATCAGTTAACTCATACATAGATGTGACATCAAGTATACTGAAAAAAAAATGTATTGCTGTATGTTCATTTGAACCACCTAACGTGTCCAAAAGTATTTACTTCTTATAGAACATCTATTTTCCAAGTTCATTTGTTATTCATAAAGTTTATATAAAAAGTTTAGTAAATAAATAGAAACTGTTCTTGACGAGCAACAGACAAAACACTTAGAGTTTTTTCGTTCTTGAATTGATTTCATATCACGTAACTGTTCAATAGGAAGTTATAATAAATTATTATTGCCATAATAACTTAATTAATATAATGAGCCGAGTAGTGGGATCTATACTTTGTTAGACTATCATACGAAAGATTATTATTCATATTTTTATTCTACAATTAGTAGATGGTTAAACTGTTGTATTCTTTATATCTTTCTATTTCTAAGTTTTTGTTTAGTCCATAAGTAGTTCTCATATGTTTTATTACTTTAGATGTATTTTTAATAAATGTTTATCCAAAACGCTGACTTAGTAGCATTTGTGGTTTCCTAATTATACTTCTGTGTGGTCAGACATTTTAGAGATATTACTGTATAAGTTTTGAGTTATAATTGAATTGGAATATGACAGGGAACTGATGTGCTTTTACCTTCGTTTCTTAATTGGACACTACGTTAGAAGGATCTAGAGGAAAAATAAGTAGTGAGGTCTTGATTGATGTGTCAGACTGGCAAACAGAAGGTGGTCGGTATTACTGGCAATACATGTGAATGATCTGTGGGCGAGAATGATAATGATTGGTTGTCTGCTTAGTCAGACATGTAGATAGTCTAACAGGTGTCAGGTGAGTTATATATTCCCTTACCCTTATAATTATTATCAATTGTTCATTGTTGTTGGATTGTGTAGGGTTTTGGTGTGGAAATATATTTACGTTCTAGTCAGGCTGATCACATGTTTTGGATCTGAGTTGTGTTGAAGTCCTGTAGAATGGACGCTGGAAGGGAATATGGTGTAGATATTCGTCTAAGGTAAATTAACGTCCCATACGTGTAAACGTAGAAAACCAACCTTTATAACAGTAAACTAATGGACGAATGGACTAGATAAAGAAATAGAGAAGTCATACGACTGCTCTCCTGTCATTACATTCTGATCACACGGGCCCCAATACAACTCAAGGAATCTGATTTTTTCTTGTATAACATTTTCATATCTCCAAACATTCCTGTTTAGTTTTTTTTAGTTGGAATTATGTATTTCCTAACATTGTATTGCAAATGTGTGTGAGTTTACAGATCACGACGTTTTAGTTTGTTAGTTCAAATACACTTATTCAAATGCTATGATTACGTGAAACAAAATTTCTCACCTAGACATATAACACAGCCAAACAAAGAATCCAATGACTAGAATAAGAAATATCACAAAAATAATAGAGAACGCTATTCCAAACATTCTACCAGCTGACCAACTCTAAAAGAAAGACAAATTAGTAAACATATTAGTGATGAAATAGCTATTGGGAATATGGTAATAAGATGCGGTAAGTGCCAATGGACGTTGTTATATTTAATAATGGTATTGAGAGGGAATTTACACAGATGGATTGATATTGGAGTAAGCTTCATCGCTTTTAGATGTTTAAGATAGAAATAAAGAGTTATTAGTTGTTTAGCAATTTAACGAATTCATGCTAAACATTTTCACTTACTTACATCGCTAGAACCGACAGTCACCTGTTCAGTTAATTGACTTAATATAATTTTGTGGTAATGGATAACTATTTTCTAAACTCTTTATAATTCAGCTTTCATAACTTGATGAATTCAGCAAAATTAGTACGTGTCGCATCTTCGTTACCGTCTTCAGGTTCCTAACCTCACTGACTGGAGCTTGGTATTCAACTTTTATATTGGCTATCTGATAGAAAACTTGAAAACACAAACTTCAAAAGCTAGGTAAAACACAACACTATAAACTATTTGGCAGTTGGGTACAAATTCATTGACTGACATCAAACTATTAGGAATCCTTATTATACCATCAAAGATAAAACTCCATTAATAATGAGTTTGTGTCCATCAACTTGTGAACTTCCTTCTTAAAAATGTGCACTTAATTAAGCTTGTGAGTAGAAGTCTGTTTACTGATTTTTTACGTTAATATTCAGATAATTCGCTTTGTGTTTTTTATTAGATGATTGGAGATATTCAGTAGGATGCCTTAGATTTTAGATTGCGGCTTCTGATATTTGGCATTAGAAAGTATCTACAGTCTGATTTCATTTATGAAATCATTGTATTCTATGACACTACAGCGTTGACTCGGATGGTGTCTAAAATCGGACTGAAAGCCGTAAATCGTCAGTGAAACGGAGTTATCAGGCCACTAACCAGGTAATAAGTTTTCCCTGTGGGTTGGTCGACACTATTCTGGTTACTTAAACTAATTAGTTAAAACTTTTGACACAGTTTGTTATTACAAGTTAAGGCTTTATGAAGAGTTGCTTATGTACATAAATATAGTTAGATTGTTGTGGTGTTTGAATTAACTAATGATTCTTTTGTACTTGTTGAATGCTCGATTTCGAATTCTAAATACAGTACATTCGTTGTGCCTGTGTCTTCTTAATTCAATTGCGTTAATCCTGGAATTCCTAATTCATACTATAATTAGAATACTATATTGGCGTCGCGATGGAGCCTGCAATGGAAAAGTTAGATATTCATTCAACTTTAGAAGCTTTTGAAGATTACTTTGAAAGGTTCGAAATCTGGGCTATGACCAAGGAAGATGATGAGGATGTTAATATTGTGGCACACTTCCTCACATTCATTGGAAAAGAAGCATACAGCTTATTAAGAACTCTGGCTATGCCGGAAAAACCCATTTCGCTTTCTTATACAGCTCTCAAGGATCTACTGCTAGACTATGCTCAGTATACAAATTTCAAATGTCGTAAAGGAGGAAGATTTCGTAAAATGATTCATGAGGATATAAAAAAGTCCACTACTACTACGTCATCTCAACCTAGTGCATACTCAAGGTTATGCAGACAATTCATTGAATTTGGATGGAGTTCACGAGGATGGGGACAAGTTTGGTCAGTGTTTGTCCTGTTGCAAGTTCCACTCTTCTAATTCATGTAAATTTCATAATTCTAAATGCTTCAAATGTCGTGATATTGGACAAGTTCAGTCAGTTTGTAATGCTAATGTTCATCTTACTGCAATTAATATTAAGTCTTGTAATTCTGATTCTACTGAGTCGAGTATTCATGATGATCATTTATCTTTATCAACGATTTCAAAAGACAGTGCAGAGTCATATGGCAGTTCAGAGTTAAATGAAATCCAGAATTCTTGTGAGACAACATTTCCTAATCAACCGATTTATCAGAATTCTCATGCTATTGTACCAAGTATGACTTTTCCTAATGATTCACATATTTCTAATGAAATTACTTGCAATTCTGAGGAAAATATGTTAAATGAACCTAATCATGATCGAAAACCTGATGTGGTTTGGATAGATGCTGATTTTTCTAACGATCCTACGCTCTGCAACGACAGTCCTGATGAATTTCATGAGAATATTTCAGAAGAATCAAATCCTGATGTCATATCATATATTACCTATCCTCATAATGTATTTGATCTTCGTGAAAAACCTGCCCAATGCGAAGCACGAGTACTAAGTGACCTCGAGTTTTATTATATTTCGGATGATTTCATATCAACTGCTGTTTACTCTTATCACAAAAACAGTTCTAATGTTTACTCTAAACAATGTGAGATATATGTTTTAAATGAAGCCACATTATTCATAACTTGGGAGTATAAAGATCCAACATTATTTCGTGGGGGGGGGATAGTGTTGAAAAATCTATGGTTCGAATTCTAGATATTAATGATTTCATTACAAAACCGACATGCTGGTTGTATACAATTCCAGGTGAGTCTGTTCCGATTTCGTTTGTTAATTCCAATACTAATGAGCACTTTCTAGATACTACAAAGTTTTTATCTTATACAATGTCGGACAGACTCAGGATGAACTTAACAAGAAGACGTACAACCGATTACAAACACTTATACTTCTATTTAAGCTGTGGCGGATGTGGTGTTTGAATTAACTAATGATTCTTTTGTACTTGTTGAATGCTCGATTTCGAATTCTAAATACAGTACATTCGTTGTGCCTGTGTCTTCTTAATTCAATTGCGTTAATCCTGGAATTCCTAATTCATACTATAATTAGAATACTATAATTGTCTTAATAATTAAGCTGGAGCTTCACTTGACAAATATGTTTACTCTGCTTAAAACTACAAGAACAGTGGAGCTAAAAATGTTTAGAATAGCATAATCTAGAAATCAACGCTAGGAAGTAGAAACACCTGTAGCTAAATAAATATATAAAAGTATGGTTTGAAAATTGCAATTTTCACTCACTTTATTTAATTCACAAAAATATCCATCCCATTCTGGTGGACAGGAACATCGTGGACTCGAATTACCAGGATGAATGATACAAACTCCACCGTTTAAACAAAAGCGATTTGTCAAGCGCATAGTTGAAAGCTTGTACTTTTCGTTTTCCGATATACAATCAATAACTGGTTGCGTACAAAATGGTCCACTCCAGTTGTCCGGGCAAATACATATAGTCTCATCGTCATCATCATTGGTTCCTTGATTAGTATATATGAACCCTTCAGCATCATTATCCTCTATCAGTTCACGTAGTAGTGTACAACGACCACCATTCTTACATGGCGACTTTTCGCAAGAATAGTAAACTGAATGACATTCGGGACCTGAGTAAACGCATTTCAACGTGAAAACATAGGAATATATAAAACTTTAGTTTTATATTGCTTTATGAATGTAGTATTATTATTTGAATAGAGCAAAGTAATTACAACGAGATGAATTTTCCAGTGATAGATAGTTGACCAAAAAAATTATTAAGCTTAATATTTTTTGTAATCGACACCGGTTTTGACTCTAAATGTTACTGGATTGCAACTTTTTGTATCAACTTGAAAGACAGTAATCTGTATGTCCTAAAACAAGGTTTGACGAGACTTAGCAAGGGAGCAAATTAACATCATCTAAGATACTTATACTCTTGAAACTTAATTTGGTTCTTACAGCAAACCTTCCAGTCACATTGTTGTTCATCCATTCAAATCACTAATGAAGGTTTTTCAGTGAATAAGTCTCGGCATTTGGATTGTTTCAAAGGATTCAAGTTTTCACTGAACCATCTCCATTGTTAGTAATGTTACGCTGAATTTAAAATTATCATGAATCTTATCACTCACTGTTTCTTCAGTGCTATATGAAAAATGCCTCACATAGTAGAGAAAATTAAATCACGTTTTTAAAATTTTGGTTCCCGTTTCGTACACATATCTCGAAACCTCTATTTGAAAGTTAAAAATAGTTAGGATTTCTGGAGAATTTTAACAAATTAAAAAGATAATAATAAGTATTTGTAGTCTATGAATGGTTTTTCATTGCATAAGCAAAGCTTCGATTCATGCAAATAATGGTTCGAATATAAATGACTAGTTAAGAACCTGTATATTATTCCAAGTCAGCAACATTTAATTCAGACATTCAAAGTTTTCAGAGTCATATATCATTCAATTATACATAAGGTCACATGGAAACGATTAATGATAGAGATAAAAAACAATGAAAAACTGAAAATGAAAGTAGGTGGGGAATATGGATTAATTGTGAAGAATCTATTGAAGATGATTTCCTAGAAACATTGTCGAAAAGCATGATAGTAGAGATGACACAGTAATATACAAGTTTATAATTTGACTCCCTAGTTATTGGTCTCTATATATAATGAAAAATTTACCTTCATAGTTTTTACAAATGCATTTTCGACGATGTTCCCTCGGCAAATTTTTACAGCGTGTATTTTTGGGGCAAGGATGTATTTGGCAGTAGTCAATAATGTCACAGTTGACACCATGTCTACCTGAAACAAATATATAACTGTGATTATTACTTAAATCTACTGATGAAAATAAAGATTACATTTAAGAAGAACATTTGGGGAGTTCGGCTTTTTTGTAACTTGTTTAGTAAGAATATAGTCAATTATTATGGTGAGATAAAATTGTATATCTGCCAGACAATTTACTTACAGAGAATTACCTTTTTGGATAAAAAGATAAGTTAGAATTCAACATATTGTTTCACATGAACTGTAAGATCCAAACTGATTACTTACATGATTTAATGTAAAATAATTAAGCTACAAAATAGAAGGCTTGTATTTTAGTAAGAGGGTGGTATTTATTTAAGGCTGTGATTTATGCACATCATGAAACATACATTAAATTCTACGTCAGTGAACTATTCATCAACTGACCGTTTAGTTTTTTAAAGTTAGAGTATTCATAAGTACAGTTACTAATTAACTTACCACTGGCTAGATTATATATCTAGTTGTTATATGAAGGATAAATTGGTAATAGCTTGCATTTCAGTTTATTAGGCTTTCAGTCTACCGTCATCGACATATCACTGAAGGTGTCCTTGAAAATCAATTGAACATTAATTCTATCTACTCCTGATTGGGTTAATTAGGAGAAAGAAGATGTAGTTCAACTTAGGAGTAATAATATACACTAAGATAGAGCAAACGGTAATGCTAGGTAAATCTTCTTACAGTTTATCAGATAACTAGCTTCAAGGTATATATGGAAAATATTATTAGTTGGCTACTTCAATTTCTTATTATTAAAGAATACTTTAGCCTAATATGGTCTATTATATATGAAACAAATGTAATAGTGTATGATACGGTCTTGATTGATGTGATTAAGTGACTTAAATGTTAGGTAAAACATTCATATTTTTAATTCTTAACGATGCTTGAATGAATATCTTTGGATTAAATGTTCTAAAAGTTTAAAAACGTGGTATACACTTTCTCCTGCACAATTCTAACAACCTTTTGACATAGAGCATGTTACCAGCTAGTCGGTTTCGTTTCAGTGAACTTCATATCTAACCAATTAAGTATAAACATATTTAGCTATAGAAGACTGAATGTCAGTATCGTTTCTGTCCACTTTAAACTGAGGAAAAGGATGTAATAAGATTTTTAAATCTATGACTGTTCGATAGTAGTGTTCTGTTTGCACTTCTGTTTTCCCTTTCTTCATTATGGTATTATACTACTTAATAATACTCAGTAACCAACTTCATATCCAATCATTTAGTGACCCGCGACCCTCCATCGTCTGTATGCCGTATCTCTAAGTCTTTACATGAGCTTATTTACTAGTGTGATTATAATTTAATAAAGTTTGTAACAGCTAACTTCAACTTGCACGAATTCTTCGAAGCTTTATTTGTTTGTAGCATCTTACATTTTTGTTTTTACAATGCCTGTTTCAATTGGTTTCTGCCGATGTAGTTTTATAAATGGCTCATAACTGTCATATAGCCTCTCACATATTTTGTAAGTAACCTTTAAATGAGTATGTCATGGAGAATTTTTCCGTTGATTGCTTATTAATATAACAAACTCCTTGGACATCATACGCATTAATGTTTGTATTAATATGGAGATAAATTATCATTTTCTAATTTTACCCATAACTCATTTATTTGATCAGATTTCGATAGAATTAATACGTAGTCACCATGAAAACAAGACCATATAAAGTTTTTAGTTAAAAAATTCAGTATATGAAATAATTTCAAGTTAAGAAGATACATTTAAAAGTCTTACCATGCAAACAAATTTTTCGTCCATTCTTGTCACAATCGTATGCCCATGGATGAGGTGAACAGAATATGTCACATTTATTCCCATAATAATTTGAATTACACGTTAGTCTGATTGATGAGCCAAGGCTTGAACAGATAGAAATTTATCATTTAAATTAGTATCATTTTGAGAAAATGTTAGACGAATTTGACATTTGGTTCTAAATACTGTAGAATATAACTCATACTTTTGCATATCGATGAATGGTGAACCGCATCAAATAGTGAGGAAAGAACTGTTAGTATTAGTTACCTGACAATTTCATTACTTTATCGGATGCATAAAGCTGATAATTATGTGAAAATGTTTGCGAAGGTAATACGTAATAAGAATATTATTATTATTAGCATAGAAGGTTTGTTATGATCGTTCATGTGAAGAAAGTTAGTTAATAATCAGTTACAAGATTATGCTAAATATACGAGGTTGATAACGGTTGGAAAATATTTTATGATAGGATAACTTTTATCTCTGGATTGTGCATGTATACTGGTAACGATTGTTTATTTCACAGGGAAACTAAATTCAAATGATATATTCCATGGTATTCAGAAGCGAAAATTTTATTAGAAGCAAGGGGTAAATGTTTCTCTGTTTTAAATATGTAGAATTACGTTAAAAAAGCCATCAAACGATTCTTGCTTTATAGTGATATTTCAGTAAATTTTATAAGAAGAACTTGGAAAATACACAACAAATCTGTTTAAATTTTTCCTTTTATTGACCACGTTCAGGTGCAGATAATATAGGTTACAGACCTGTTGTGGTTGGTACTATGTCAAGTCGATATTGTGTTATTCGGGCTTCTAGACAGACCAGTTTTACGCACTCTTCTCAAGCCACATTTTTACCTTGTCACTTATTCACTCATTAGTACTGACTTTTTATATGACTGTATGTATGTTAATTGCATACCCCATTCAATATGTATATGTAACTTATTTATGTTTGAATTTAAATATCGACTTACGTTTGATCAAAAGGAGTTGGCTCACTCTCCTTCTCCAGTGCATGTCACTTCATTTCTCGGACTGTTTGTTCAAATCAATGAGTGTATGAAAAATACATATTCAAACTTCATTCTCGGATTTAACTTATTTTATTCCGTTATTTTCCAACGCGAATTAAGTCGATAAAAGTATACGAGGATTGACGGTATATATATTTCGATAGCAATAATCTTACGATTATATGAACATACAAAAGATGTTCTACTTCACAATATACTAAAAATGGGTAACTTTATATTACATAGTTGTTAAATAATTACAGTAGAGACAAGATGATCCACTTGATTTCATTAATCCGGTGTATCTAGAAATATAATGAAGTCATTAGACTGTTTCTTTTTTTATATTTGTTCATTTCACAGAGGTATTCTTTTTTTTGTAAGAGTATTAAAAATAGCAACCTCGAGATCCTTATTTCAAAGGAAAATGTAAAGGAACTAATTTTATTTGGCATATTCAACTTGGGATTTAGATTTAAGTCTTGTGTGCGCTAACAATTCGACAGTTTGCAATGAAATCTTCACTTTTCTCTTCTACCAAACTGTTTTAAAACATAACCGACCATCATACTAGATAGTTATGTAAAGATGAATGAGATTCATTTCATAACTTCTTATTTGAACATCTATTTAATTATGATTAACCTCCCTGCCAGAATCGTCATTCCAAATTATCCTCAAAATTAATTGTGACTGGTATTAATTGAGTTGCAATCAAAAATTGATACACAGTATGGGTTTCATTAGCCTATCAATTCAAGCTTGACTTCTCTATTCGGAAGCTAAATATTTATTTACTTAATTTGCTATGGTACTAAACCTATTCTAGTTTTCTGTATAGTTATTAACACGTGTTCATTTCTCTTTTTACTTTCAACAGGGAAATGATCTTCCACACTTTTCTTCAATATGTTATTTTTACTTTAACTAGTAAGTCACTTACGTTGTATATTTTGTCAAAAACCTTTGATAAACTATGATCATTTTGTTGTTCTATTTTGTTGTAGAATATTGTAAGATAAACATAGATAAATTGGTGTAGCTTTGGTAAATAACGTAGTAAATAAACTTTCTTTACTGAACTCTCATTATTTATCTTGAAATAACTTATTACAGAAGATATTAACCTACCTGAAAGAGTCACTTATATGACTGTAATTTAATGGAATAGTTTGAAATACGTTGGTTTTTTCTGGCTGATACAATCCTGTAGCGATGGTAATTATATCATGTTCACCCAAAGCATCTTCATCGTAGACATAAAGATCTAATCTATATTTTTCCTATAAAATGAACAAAGATACGTGATTTCCATCCTACTATAAAAACTATTCTGATATATTAGAAGTTAAATATTCATTGGTACAGGAAATATCCTGATGATTACTGTCTACAAGACTGTTTCCAACCATATGCCCATTTTTTATTGCTTGGACTAAACTATTGGTTAAGAAATAAAATCTGCCTCCCATCATACTAAGTAGTTAAGTGTTATACACCAAATTTAGTGATAAATATTATTGCGAGGGAAATTCAAAAATCCTAGATAACCTAGATGAACAATAAAATGAATTTCCTTAACAGACTTTTGACAGAACTGATGGATTAAGCTAATTGTACACTGCATTGATTGATGCAGAGTATATTTCATTTAAAATCAGTGGAGGTGGTCAGCAAGTATTCCTTGACGTGGTTTTCAGGTTAAATAACACTACAGTAAAGCATACTTGTAATAAGAGGCATCTAATGCTCTCTGTATATTTCGAACGCAGATCACCTAGATTAGCAGTATGAGTCGTTATCAGGGGTAGGCTGACATGTTTAGGAACATAACACTTATATTTATTGAGCATATACTGGTGACCAATACTGTGTTCTTTATTGTCTAGTGCTGGTCTAATTTCGTTATTCAAGTTATAATGTGGCTACTAGTCAAAGTGGTTTTGTTTACGGAAGTAACTAAAAATGTTTCCATGTAAAAATATAGAACCAGATATCATGTATTTAGTCGGCGGTTATCGTAAGCTCATTTTATCATGAATCAATCTATAATCTATATAGAAACAGCTAGTGACCAGAGATTCCCAGATAACTCTTTCTTGGGTTCTCTTTTCCGACTGTTGCCAGGAACTTTTCATGGTCTCTATGACTGCTTCTGATTCGCGTCTTCGTGTGCTTTTTGGTCCACGTTTTTTCCTTTTGCTTTAAGGAATCCAAGTTAGAGCTCGCTTTTTGATTCAGTATGATGACTTTCTTGAAGTATGTACTTTTGAATCTTTTCCTAACCTTCTTCTTAATTGGAAGTTGGTTTATTTTCTAACACAGTAGGTTATTGCTAGTAGTACCTAGCCAATGGATCTGGAATATCGTGCGTAGATAGTTGTCTATAAATCCCTGTACTTTTTGATGATGGGTATAGAAGTTGTCCAAGTTTCAACCCTGCACAACACAATTGTTTTGACTACTGTTGGAGAAGCAGGAAATACAATTGACATCTTGAATGCAACTAGATGATTTGGACTTCACAGATGACCTAGCTCTTCTGTCACATACACATCAACAAATGCAGGTCAAGACAGCCAATGTAGCAGTAGTTTTTAACATATCCAAAGAAAAAGTAAGATCCTGAATTACAATATAGAGAGCAGTAACCGAATCACACTTGATGGATTAGTACTGTACGAGATGGAAATTTTATGTAATTGAGCAGCATTATCGAGACTATAAATCATGGATAACCAATCAGGTAAAAGGTAACAGGCATCGAATTTTGGCGCTAAATTCACTCATCCATTTGGCTAGATAAAGTTTTGGCATTATAGCTGATGTCATTTCGTGATGAAAAACCGAAATATAATATATAACCTTAACCATCAATTGTAAATTATAATTATAATTCCTCATACTGGTCCATAATCCTCATTTAGTCCTAGTTTGTAGGTGAACACCATCAAGGTCAGTCCAGCGTCACTCAAAGGTCGTCCATAAATTATTGTCTCACTAGAAATTAAGAAACGACGATGGAGGTAGATAGGACATACATTACGGAAGTCATCAAACTGAATCCCTTGTATTCAGTGCTCCTCCTCAGACGTGACAGTCTCCATGATCCAGTCAACAGCCAGAATAAAAAAGGTGGAAGTAGGCAGTCTTTACTGACACCGATAACCATACAGAGAACATCTATGAGCTGCCTTCCATGCATGACCTTACATTTCAGTACATTCGTGATAGTTTCGTACGATGATGACGATCTTTTCAGGTCCTCTGTAGTGTTGAGGAAGATTCCACATGATTCTCCTATTCACTCCGCGAATGCTTTTCATGGTCAAAGAATCTAATGCTTAGTGATTAGTTTTGTTCAACTGATTACGTAACAATAATCTGAAGTATTGCGATTTGGTCAGCACACAATCAATCTATATGAAAACCAGAATTTTGGTCTCGGAGTCTGGTGTCTACTGAATCGTTTATCCTGTTTAGCAACGCTCCGTTGAAAAATTTTCCTGGCACTGACAGTAGTGTGATGTCTCTGTAGTTCTCCCACTTTCTGAGACCTCCTTTCTTTGGTGTCCTTCTTTTCAGTTTATCAACACTTGGTCCTCTGCCCAAATCCTCCTGAATAGAATGTGGAGCATGTTTGCAAGTACTCCTACATGTTACGTCATTGCTTCAGCTGGTGTGTTATCTGGTCCTTGTGCTTTTCCAATATCAGTTAACCTAGAATGGATTCAGGCATATAATATGTTCAAGAGAAAAAAGGCTGAAACAATATTGCGCAGAATAAATCATGAATAAGGACGACTAGTTTTGGTAAACAGTCATCAAGCTTTCTGATGTATGCTACTCATGTCGACCTAAGTAGTATATAACACCAATCAGAAGTGGAATGCCTGTCAGAAGAGGGTTGGGAAGATCGAATCGAATAGAACAGCGACAGAGAGTAATTGTAATAGCAATGAAGGAACGATGAAGAATGGGAAAATTGATGAAGGATTTAAAAATGAAGTATTCAATGCATGGTTTTCACATTTTATCAAAGAATTCTGTAATTTCCTACCAAATCACGTTGTTCATCCCCACCTGCATTCTTGTTCACCGTGCATTTAATCTAGATAATAGAAATTTAGGTATTTTTGACGATTAACATCTAGTTGAGACTTGTTACCTTGTGTCTTAATGTTTAAAATCCTTTCAAGATAATTAAATACTCAGCCTTAACAAAAAAGAAACTTTAGGAGAACTTACAGGTAATCGTTCATTTATTTTTTCAGATACTTTAATGTGAAATTTTGCAGTGTCCGCAATAGTCTCTGTTTTCACATGGATTAATTGCCTGTTAAATAGAATTGTAATACAAATTATTTGTGTCATCGTCATACCCTGGTAACTGAAGTATATTATAACAGACTGAATATTATGCTTGTAATAATGGTTTTTTTATGTAAGAGGTCAACTTAATTATATTTCGGATATTAGAAATTGGGATATATATTTCATCTTGTTGTTGACAGTTGAATGTAGCTATTTTTTTATATTTTCTGCTAACTTTGAATCACTGTGTTAGTTCAATTTTCTTAAATCGTGAGATGTTATCATAATAATATCAATGTGACAGTTCAAATAATTTTACCCTGTCGGTTATGATTTATCAACTGACGAAACCATTTTCTTACCATAGAAAGTTATTGAAAGTAGTTATTAGCTTGGACAGTCATTAAAGATACATTAAAGTCAAGTTTGATGGAAGTCAATTACTGAACTTGTGATAGTTAAAACCTTCTTGGTCTAAATGAAGACATGAATTAAAAACATCATGTCAGATAATAACAATTATTTATTCTAAAATTAGCTGAATTTTTGACTTGTTACTTGAAATCTGTGACTTTGTAGTGAATCATCTTAGAGATGATCCCTAAGGCTTCGTATATCAGTCGTTCTAATAACCGTTACTAGTTAACTCCCAAAGGTGTATACATTTCAGGAGACAATACGAAGCGTTTACTACAGTTTACTATCGCACAGTGCAGATCACTAAGCCACAAGCATCCGAGCAGAAATGCTGGTGCGAGCGAGTAAATACAGAGTCGGATGGATTGACATGACGTAAGCACACTTATATAGGAAAACGAATGGTTTATTAAGAGATTTAAGCCACTAATACTTAGGCCAGTAAGAGAAATATATATATATAGGCTGTAACATGTGATCAAGCATACATACATGAATATAATTATACAAAGATAAACAAATTGTTACTGTTTGAATGACACTGTCTGTTAAATAAGTCAATTGAATGTCTTGACAAAGCCAAACGTAAACAGACTTAAGTGTAGATGAGGTGGTATAAATTAACCTGCCAAAAAATCTAGTTAATAAGACAGACTCAATTACGAGCAGTAAACATCCTAGTCAGAGATCGATGTTAGCCAACAGTTTTGTCCAGAATGTGTATTTTATCCTACTTGAGACTCGTAAACTGAACGTTCGTGCATACCAAAATGGACTTTCATCCTGAGACTCAAACCTGGAAACGTTCACATCCGACGTTGTCGCGTCAATATTTTAGCTACTGAATCCGGATAAATACTGGTTTGCGTAATCGGATGAAAATGAAACATTCTGTTGATAAGCTAAATTGTCGATTGGTAATGCTAAATAAGTAAGTAATGTTTCTAAATATGAAGAATTATACAATGTTTACCAAATATGTTGGGTTTTAATATAGTAGGCTGGATTTAATATGTAATGAAACGAATGTACTCGACCTAAGTCCCTATAAAGTATAATGTAGCTATCAGATCAATATTAATACTAGTTATTTTGAAACCATAAAATTTATTTAAGCATAATTATTCTGTTTATAAACGACTATTGATAACGCAATCTAATCCAGAAATGGAATATATAAAGTTAAATATTTGAAAACTCGTAAATCTTTTTTTCGAAAAATTTATTTCACAGACTGAAATCATGAGTCAATTCAAGCTAGACCTTCATGGAAAACCTGGAGATATCAGCTCACTGAAGACAATGGTGTACGATGGCGCAACTTCGTGGATCGGTTGAAGTTAGACATTAACACCATTGGATTCCGGATCAGTGGCCTAGTTGGTTAAGCGCCTGGTCCGGGGCTGATAGGCTCTGGGTTCGAATCCCGCGGGGTGCGGGGTCGTGGTTGCGCAGTGCTGGGGAGTCTCATGCTAGGACAGAACGGCCGTCAAGTTCTTCTAGGCTTTCCATGATGGTCTAGCTTCAATTGACTCCTGATTCCAATCTGTGAAGTTTTGTAAAATCACCACAAACTCCTTCTGACAAAGAATTTATTGCCGAAATGAGTTAAATATAGAATTAGGTCCTGGGTTCGAATCTCGCGAGGCGCACTACTAAGGAGTTCCACAGTAGAATGAAACGACCGTCCAGTGCTTCCAGGTTTTCCATGGTGGTTTAACTTCAATGGACTCATGATCACAACTATTAAAATTGTTTCCTTAAAAAAATAAATTACTTCGATTTCTGTAAATTAAATAGTTTCACTACTTTAATTTTCACAAATTAATGTGTAAATTAATGAATTACCTTGAGTTATTGTCAGCTAACTCATACAATCCCACAATTATATAAACATCACATCGATGCAATTGCCAATCACAGTAAAATCCACTGCTTGTAGTTGATTCTAGATTTGTGTAATAAATTTCTATTTCAAAATGTCCACCAGGTAGATTTATCTACAAATAAATCAAAATATTTAGCTGTCAGATATTTATAATACTTATATTACTACTACTAATAATAACTATAATAATTGTATTCTCTGAGCAAAGGTAATGAATAATGTTAATGTTACACGTTTGTTTGTTTAAATTTATAAACAGAAATCATTCTTGAAATTTTAATGTAATTATTACATTGGATACATAATAGGTGGTCAGAATTTCAATAAGGGTATATTTTAAAGATTTATTTGTAAAAAAAACATAGATGAATAAATGACAAGAATGAGGTAAGGATTATTTAGTTAATATACCTACGTTCGTAACGATTTTTCTGGTAAGTTGATATTTTCACGTAATTTAAACGTAGATTGTAAGACAAAGTTAAAATTATCAGCAAGGGTTTTGTGGAAACATTTTTAGAAATTTCACTGGTTGAAGTCATGAGTCAATTGAAGCTAGATCATCATGGAAAACCTGGAAGAATTGGAAGGCCGTTTCGTCCTAGTATTGGACTCCTCAGCAGCGCGCATCCACGACGGTGGCGCAAATTCGAGGACTGGTTAAAGTTAGACATTAACACTGTTGAATGCCGGATTGGTGGTCTAGTTGGTCAGGCGCCTGGTGCGAAACTGATAGGTCCTGGGTTCGAATCTCGCGGGGTGCGCGACGAAACGCGCGTCCTGGATTTCACTGCTAGCCATTATCTTTATTTGCATATGTAGATGAAAATCTAATTTCAGTATATAGAAAGTTCTTGTTTTGAAATTTAGTGAAAAGAACGAATAGAGCAAAGAAACTTTGTTTCATCGCGGTTCTACAGTAATATATATATATATATATATATATATATATATATATATTCACTAGTCGAACTAAATTAGACCTCCACTTACAACTTGGAAGCACTAGATAGGATTAGACTCCTCAGAAGTGTGCATCCACGATCCCAGACGCGGGAGTTCTAGTGATGAGCCGTGACTAGTGAAGTCCAGTTCTTATCAAATGTGAGACAGTTATCTACTTCAGACAATGTGTGAAAGATTGCGCATGATCATGGATCGATTAAAGTTAGATATTAACTGTCGGATACCGGTCCAGTGGTTTAAAGGTTAGGCGTTTGTGCGTGAGACCAAGGGCCTTGGTTTGGAGTCCAGCATGCAGGGTCATCGACAAACACTGTTGAGGAATATCATACTAGGACGAAACGGTCGTCCCATGTTTCCAGGTTCTCAGTGATATTCTAGTTTAGGTCCACTCCTGAATTCAACTTTGAACATTAAAATAATCTCAATCAGTGATCAGTGATTTCTTAAGATATATAAGTTAACATTCACATGAAGGAATAATTCTTATAACTTCTTTACAGTCATTAGACATTTTATATGTTCATGTATGTATTATTAATGATTTTTCTTTGCAAACTGTAATGCTGTTTCTTGACATTTCATATTTTATTCGTTTAGTCTTTCTTTGCAGGTGATCACTGACTAAAGTTTATTATCTTATTGAGTTATTTCAACGATAATTAACTGACAAAACACTATGTCGTCTATTTTAGCTTACAAATCTCTTTATTCTGTCTTACATTAAAAAGGTATATATTAAACAAAAATAATTAATCATTGAATGATAATTTAGATAATACTTGACTCTTTATTTTATTGTTGAAATGAGGTTTTGTTTTTGGAAATGGTAGTGAATTTAATAGTTGAATCCATGAATCGATGCAAGATAGACCACCATTGAAAATCTGGAAACACTATACAGCCATTTCGTTTTAATATTTTACTTGAAATCACCATAACCAAGTTAACCTGAAAAATACTATACACTTACATTATACATAAAAAATAAACTGTTATTAATGGAACATGTTTTAAATACCTACAGATTATTAACGCTATATCATGATCAACTTTAGAACAGCTTTTACGTTAGGGGAGATAATTTTAAGCCTATCAAGCTCCTATGTAATAGGATGTTTAAGTGATTCGAAGACTTTCTCGTCCTATACATAATTACAGTTCCTATTAATTTTCTAATAATATCCTGTTGAATAACGGAATATTAGTCAAAAACAACATGCAATTTCTTAGCAATAGGTTAGAATGCAATTTCACTTTGTTTTATCAGTTGAGCGACAATACTAGACTCCACACATTGAAATATATTCCAAAGTTTAGTACATCAATCTGTACATAGTTAGATCTACTTGATGATCTCTCAACGGAATGAATAAATATTAGTATATCCTGATATCCTGTCTTACAGTTTTCGAATATGAATTATACATATATAAAAGCATATTACTAATTTTTATTATTAAATAAATAACACTTACCTCTGTGTTTGAATGAATATACATAGAAAGAAAAAAATTGATAACAATGAAATAGTAAAAGTAGTAGTTGTTGTTGTTGTTGTAACAAAATCGATTGAAGAGAATAGTCCAAAGCATTTTTGTAAATCTAATGATGTATAACTTGAAATACAATGTATTATACTGCAAAACTGTTTAATTTATAGTCATATTAAGCTTATTCAAAACTATATCGTTTTGTTTATTTGTATAAAGATCTAAAATGTATGAATGAAATTTACTATGGAATAGTTTAGTGTAAAAACAATTTTTGTTTTTCGTTTTGTTTATCTATGAAGTTTTGATTATGTAAAATGAAATATATTTATTCGAATAATACAAAATGAATAGTAAGTTGGTCAATCAGATTACTATACATAATCTGAATATAATCAATGTTATATCACCTGGATTGAATTTTGTTTATTATTAAATATAATATGGAAACTGAATTTAGTAAATGGAATATAGTTGAACACTTCATTGATTTTTTGACAATAGGAGAATGAAATGATGAATATGATTTGTTACTAAGACATATTTATAGATTTTTTGTCCTATTCATTTGAGTATAATTAAAATACCAGATAAAAATTAAACAAGAGTCATAGCAACATATCTAACTGATAAAGTGGATATTATAAATGTCATTTAATAAAGAGCTCTTATAATTCTTTCAAGGTTACCTACTTTCACTCTTTCTCTTTCTCCTGATGATCGACTGGATCATGAAGACGTCAGTATCTGAAGGGAAGCACGGGATACAGTGGACATCTGGGATACAATTAGACGATCTAAACTTTGAGGATGATCTGGCCCTTCTATCGCAAACGCAACAACAAATACTGGAGAAAACGAACAGTGTAGCAGCAGCCTCAGCAGCAGTAGGTCTCAATATACACAAAGGGAAAAGCAAGATTCTCTGGTAAAACACAGCATGCACCAATCCAATCACAATTGACGGAGAAGATTTGGAAGATGTAAAAACCTTTACATATTTGGGCAGCATCATTGATGAACATGTTGGATGTGATGCAGATGAGAAGGCGCGGATCGCCAAAGCAAGAGCAGTACATCTACAACTGAAGAACATCTGTAACTCAAAGCAACTGTCAACCAACACCAAGGTCAGGATTTTCAATACAAATGTCAAGACAGTTCTACTGTTTGGGGCAGAAACCTGGAGAACTACGAAAGCCATCATCCAGACGATTCAGGTGTTTACTAACAGTTGTCTACGCAAAATACTTCGGATCCATTGGTGAGACACTACTAACAACAACGTACTGTGTGAGAGAACAAACCAGATCCCAGTGTAGGAAGAAATCAGGAAGAAGAGCTGGAAGTGGATAGGACACACATTGAGGAAAGCACACAACTGCGTCACAAGACAAGCCCTCACATGGAATCCTGAAGGTCAAAGGAGAAGAGGAAGACCAAAGAACACATTACGTCGAGAAATGGAGACAGACATGAGAAAAACGAACAAAAATTTGACAGAACTGGAAAGAAAGTCACAGGACAGAGTGGGATGGAAAATGCTGGTCAGCGGCCTATGCTCCATTGGGAGTAACAGGTGTAAGTAAGTAAGTAAGTCTTATAATTCTTTGAGTTTTTAAGTGAACTTTCTTAATTTGAACGCACAAATGGGCCAACAATTCCTTTCAGAATCCTTTGAATTAACTAATTAAAAGTTTGGTATATTTATGACATAAGAATTATTTGATGTTTATAAGCTTCATGGAGACATGTATCTAAAGTTGAGTTTTAAGGAGTTCACGGTTAGTGATCAAAAGTTGTCACTGAATATTGTTGAAGTAGTATGCTTGATCATTGAACTTATGATTAAGTTTTTTCACTCATTAGTCTAAGAAAAAGTATTTCTAAGTTTACGATCCCATCAGTTTTCTGTCAGACTAACTAATATATAATCGAAATATATATTGAGATCTTAGGCCATTAGAATATTTTAACAGAATCATACCACAAGTTAGAAAAGTTAAAATGTTTGAAGAACTAAAAATCCTTCAAACTGTTTATTGATTGATAATAGAAAGCAGGCGGATCCAGTAGATTCTAATTAACTATTAGAGGTGAATAAAAAGACAATGATTAGTCGAAATATGTGTTTTCTTGCGAAAGAGATAAACAGTCTATAATAGAAGTATGGAACAGGTGTAAAACGTCCAAACGAATGATATTACGTAAGGCTTTTCATTAGTACAATAATCAAAGTGTATAATTTTTAAAGAAGTGGTAGATCAAAACGACTAATAGAAAATATTATCAAGGAAACGTTTCCAACAATCTAATCACATATTTACTTATCAAAAGCATTTGGTATGAAAAGTAAAAAGTCTTCTCAAAACAATGGTTAAATAAATAAAACATGGAAATAAAACTTAGAAGGAATCGAAAGTTGTTGAATTATCCTTGGGATAGAAAATCGACTACCGAGTACCATTGCTGTGTCAAAAATTAGTTCTTGAACACAACACTGAAACTTAAACATCATATTACATAGGAGCTTGGTAGGCTCAAAATTATCCCCACTAACATTTTATATATAGTAACGTAAAGGCTATCCTAAAGTTGATCATAATATAGCGTTCGTTAATAATCTGGAGCTATTTAGAACATGTTCTATTAATGACAGTTTATTTTCGATGTGTAATGTGGATCTATAGTATTTTTCAAGTTTACTTGGTTATGATGATTTCAAGTAACTCCACTAATATTAAATCTATAAACTCTAACACTGACACTGGCATGTTTGATATATCAAGCATTGAAGTCAAGATGTATGGGGTTACATCAAGTTGTTCTAATACAAAAACCACCAAAACAGCAAATAAAATCTACGCGATCTAGTACATTATTCAAAGAATTATCTAATTTTCATTTATATTTGATCATTTCAAACCTTTAAAATGTGAAGCACTTAGACTACTTATTTAATAAAAAGTAGTAATAACATTGAAGAAGAAGAATGTGGTTAAAAAATATGTTCATACTATTTTGGTTGGCTTACAGCAATCCCTAAACTAGAACACTGATAGGTATTTTAGTTAAGAATTATCTTCTAGTTAACACAAATGACACTAAATTTTAAATAAGAGAACTTAGGTTTGTACAACACCATAACCATATTCTCCTTTCATTAACTGTTTCTAAAAGACCAAGAAATTTACCATGAAATTTCGTAACAGTTTACAATGAAATTGCGAAAAATTTACAAGAGAAAATGTATCCAGTCTTGTATAAATGTAGTGCTTTTCATTCTAGATTTTCCTTTGTTCTTGGGTGAATAGACCATGTAAATGCTAATATTCTCGTTAGCTGGTTACAACTTGTGATATTTAAAATTACAATTACATAATGGGTTTAAATTACTTGCATGAAAAAAGTTTGGTTGTAGGTTATATTGAAAATATCATAATGAATTCATGCTATTCTGCTACAATGTTTGTTCTTGCTCTTTTCAAAATAATAAAGGGAACTATGTGTATAGATGGTAATAATCAGTTCGTTTATCATTAACAATAAACAGTTTAATTGGTTTATCAAAGTTTTCGGGATGAAATCAACGGAACAATGACAGTATGATTTAGTAGATCCAAATGAAATGATCATTTTGTTTTAAAAAATCGAATTTTTTTTCAATTTTTACGATGATTACAATTTTATTGAGTAATTTTAAGTTTGCTATGTACTGAATATAATTGATTAATTAAGATTTATGAATTATGTAATCTACCTATTCGGTTACGATTTACAGTTCATAATATGAATCACAATCTGAAGAAACTTCAACTTCAGTATTAGGCTAGAAAGATGATATACCAAGAAAATTAAATTTTATAGCCGAAACCGCATTTCCTATCAATGAAAAAGCGATCTAATGTTCTGATCATGATATGCTTATAAGCTTCATGAAACCTTTAAAATAATCGAATTATATATAATGTATGCAAATTACGTAGATCTATACACTATATAATATATCAAGCTTCCATCAAATTTTTTTGAATAGTTGGATAAAATAAATTACGATTACGATCAAATCATACAGTAATCGAGCTTTCTTGATTTAATATAATTCATATTCGAAAACTGTAAAACAGGATATCAGGATATACTAATATTTATTTGTTCCATTGAGAGATCTTCAAATAGGTCTAACTATGTACAGATTGATGTACTAAACTTTGGAATATATTTCAATGTGTGGAGTCTAGTATTGTCGGTCAACTGATAAACCGAAGTGAAATTGCATTCTAACCTATTGCTAAGAAATTGCATGTTGTTTTTGACTAATATTCCGTTATTCAACAGGATATTATTAGAAAAGTAATAGGAACTGTAATTATGTATAGGACGAAAAAGTCTTCCAATCACTTTCCTATATATTACATAAATGTCTATGAAAAATTAACCATCAGCAAACCCAATGTTTGGCTTTATTTTAATAGTTGTCAAGCTTATAATGATTCATGGTGAGCATCATTTTCAAAAAGAATTTCTTCCAGAGCTATTGCTAAACATAGTATTTAAGAAGTACGATGGGATATTCAAAAAGTTTGTTGAAGCCTTTTAGCATAATGAAAATGAAAAGACTGAAGCTGAAACAATTCTTAGTACTACTGCTCTATCGTCAAAGCACATGAAATACTCTTAACTTCTCATCAATTCAATCTCCTCATATATTTTGGAAAGTCTCAGAGAAATTGTATTCATAGAATACTACAGAGTTGAGTTAGCATGAGAATATATATCAGCTAATTTTTGTTTTCTACACCCTCATATTATTGACGAAATTTATTTGTTAAATCATGTTACTTACGAGTAGTTAAAAATTATCTAAAAAATATGTTCATCATCTCTGTGTTTATTTTGCAAACTAACGAAAAATCGATACTATTTGGTTATTTTACATTTAGTCAGCAATAAAATATATACATGAAATTCCCATCAGTCATGTCAAAGGTTAAGTAGAATATATTTCTAGTAAAGTAGGTGCATGTTATGTTTAGACTAATTTAGGTAATGCGTGACATGTACTACTGATGTCGACAGATATAAGTAGTTTGTAACATCAA